TTTTATTACTGCTTTTCTGAAGCTGTTTTTCTCCTTGTTTATTATTTATTCCTTTCAATCATCCCTCTGCCCCCAGAGAAGAAAGAAAAAGAGTATTCTTTCATGTGTGACTTGGTTTTCTTTTTTTTTTTTTTTTGTTGGTTTGGTTTGGTTTTTTTTTATTTAAAACCAGGAATAATGCTTGGGTAAATTTGATTTTTATATGTGTCAAAAATTCCAAAAGATAGATACAATTTTTTAAAATGTTTTTATTTTACAGATTAAAATCTATTTTACTTTTTTACTTTGTGCAGGAACAGAGTTTGAGGGTGCTGTGATTGCATTATTTCATCTGCTGGCTACACGAACTGACAAAGTCCGGGCTTTGCGGGAGGCTTTTTACCGACAGAATTTGCCCAATCTCATGAATCTGATTGCTACAGTATTTGTATTTGCTGTAGTTATATATTTTCAGGTAAAATGAGAAATTTCTCATAGTAGCTCTTCAGCTGCATAGGTAGAAGTGCGTGGACCTTAGACGCTGCAGTCACTGGGAAAAAAATGCAGAAGTTAAACTAGACTAACTGAAGTATCTTAGCTTTGAGTAAGAAACTCTTTTTATTTCAATAATGTTATTTCAGTAACATACCTCTGTGACAGTACAGCTGTTAAATTTTATGGCCAGATGTATTTGTACTCAGTGATGTAATCTCGCATTCCGTTAAATGCCGTACACGTTATGAGAGTATTTTTACTAAAAATGGATTCTTGAACTGCAGTGGTTGTATCACACAAATAATGTTTCATATTCATAGTTATCTTAAAAGAATATCTCTGTACAGAGCTAAAGATCCTTGTTTCTTTGGGGTGTGCATGAGACAGATTTGTTCTAGAAAACAGCTGTGTGATTAATGCATAGCTAACTTTTTTCCCTAATTTTCTTGAAATACTTGGCTAGTATTTCCTTTTAAATCTAAGTATTTACTAAAATGGACACTAAAGGAGATCCATATGGTGATTTTTTTTTTCTTGTGTGATTGTTTTTCTGTGTGTATGGCTAAAACTTTTTTGTTGTTTTTTTTTTGTTGTTGTTTTTTAAGCTGTTGAGTCAGTGCTAGCAAAAAAATGAATTCTCTGATTTTCAAATCCATGTCACTTTTCTTGGGGCTCCTCAGATAGGAGCCTGCCCCACAAAGCAGAGGGCTGGGCATACTACACAAAAATCTGCTGTTTAATGGCTTTTAACTTAACTAGCCAGTTAAGGCTTTTATCAAACCCTATTCTATAAAGTTTTAGAGGAATATCATTTAGCAGATGAGAGGTAATGCTTATGTAAAAAGAATGTAATACAACCAAGCAGGAACACTTATAAATCTTTAAAATTTGTAATCCAGGCTGCAGCAGAAAACCTTTGGGTTTTAGTGTCTCAGACCTTGTGCTCCTTGGTTACCTAGCAAGAACTCTACGATCAGGATTAGCTTTTAAGCATCCTCGGAACACCTTCTGACTTGGAAATTAACTCAGTGCATTTGTGTTCTTTCCCATAGGGATTTCGTGTTGATTTACCTATCAAGTCTGCACGATACCGTGGACAGTACAGTAGCTATCCTATCAAGCTCTTTTATACCTCCAACATTCCCATCATTCTGCAGTCTGCCTTAGTTTCAAACCTCTATGTTATTTCCCAGATGTTGTCTGTTCGTTTTAGTGGCAACTTTTTGGTGAACTTATTAGGACAGTGGGCAGTAAGTATTTTACCACCTTTTTAACGGCATAAAATTACTTGTATATATTACTTAATTGTGAAGCTTTAGTATTTAACCAGGAGAAAACTGGAATACTTTTTAATATTTGTGCACGAAAGCTGTTTTAAACGCTGAAAAGGAATTCCTTTCTAAGTACAGGATAGGAATGTGAGAGATCTGTGAGAAATTACTAATTACCTTTTTCTCCCCCTCTCCTAGGATGTCAGTGGCGGTGGCCCTGCTCGCTCTTACCCTGTTGGTGGCCTGTGCTACTACTTGTCCCCTCCAGAATCCATGGGTGCAATATTTGAGGATCCTGTCCATGTAATAGTTTATATAATATTTATGTTGGGATCCTGCGCGTTCTTCTCAAAGACTTGGATTGAGGTGTCTGGCTCATCAGCAAAAGATGTAGGTGTTCTGATAAATGTGCCTTAATGTTTTCAAACACTGCCTCTAATTTAGAACTGACTAGCTACTAACCCATCGGTTGTTACTGTCAGGTGACTCTGAAACACCCTAGCACTTCCATAAAATTGTGGTTTTTGCAGGTTGCCAAGCAACTGAAAGAACAGCAAATGGTGATGAGAGGCCACAGGGATACTTCAATGGTTCACGAGCTTAACAGGTAAGGAAATGCCGACTTCCAGCTGGATGGCTAAGAGTGCTGGGGAGGTGGCAGCTAGAGCAGATATTCTTGGAACAATTTGAGACCTGCTTCCACTGCAAACGGCAAGATTCCTCCCCTTCAGCTGTCGCCTTTCCTAGTAACGCAGAAGATGTTTATAGCAGTAGGTAAGAGATTAACTTGTAGTGTCTCTTGTTTAAGCGGCATAATGAGGGAATTTGGGTTGAATCTCTTCTGTGTTTGTAAAAGGAAGATACCTTGATTTTTACAGGTGTTTAATTTACCATTACTGAACTAAGATGACACTACAAAAGCGGTATTTTATGCAGTATGCAAAGCCTGCAGATCTATACTGAAAGGTAGATTCATCCCTACGTATTTAAGTTGAAGCAGTTATTCTTGGTCCTGTGGAGGTCACATAGCATGCGTATACATAAAATTACTGTATTTTTAATTGAAAAGCTTTGCCAGTGTTCAGTTACTCACACAGCTTTCCTAGTAGTAAATATTTATTTCAGTTTCTACTTTGTGCAAGTATGGAAGATAGTAAGCTAATGGCAGAGTTGCATTTGCAACGCTACGTTTGTTGCTCAATATTCTAGTTGGTTACTGTAGTAATAGATGTATTGTTAGAATTGTCAGATGAAAATTCAGGATTATGAATACTTTTTTTTTTTTTTTCATTGGTACAGGTATATCCCTACAGCAGCTGCATTTGGTGGTTTGTGCATTGGTGCCCTTTCAGTATTGGCTGACTTTCTAGGAGCCATTGGGTCTGGCACTGGTATTCTGCTTGCAGTCACTATTATTTATCAGTATTTTGAAATATTTGTAAAAGAACAGGCTGAAGTTGGAGGAGTAGGTGCATTATTTTTCTAGATGTCCAAATATTTCATGGTTTGTGTGAAAGGGAAAGTATTTTGACAACATGTGTCATTTAGTCCAATAATGCTATTTTCTTTTTACTTATTTTAAAGTGCTACGTGTCCCATTACTGTAATGGGCATTGAGCAATGCCTGTGTGCAGCATTAGTACCAGCTGCCTTAAGAATAAAGTTTACATTATCTTGATTAAGTATTATCTAGTGTTGCCTGTAATGCTGGAAACCAATTCATCTACCTTGCTGTTCAAACACTACTGTGAGATGGTAAAATGTATCAGTTTGAAACCGGTAAACACTTTTGCCCACAGCATTAAACTGTTAAATTTATTTCCATATCCTTAATAGGAAAAAAAATAAAATCTGAGTTCAGATTGCCACGTGCCAGTATTCTTGACAAAACTTATTTGTAGCTTGTATTCTACATTAATTTTTTTATACTTTTTTAACTTGCATTTCCCCATCATTGAACTCAGCACTCCTTATTCCTTTGTGGTGTCTCCACCCAGACACCCTTCTCTTAGCTCTAAGGGTGGACAAGCAAATGTTTTACCGGAGACTGATACTCATCTCACCTGTGAACTGGTTCTGTGGTGGATTTGCTGCATCGTGGGGCTGGGGGCATTTCAGTTTCTTGCCCGGGGCCTCCCGTGCGACAGTGTGGTAGCTGCTGTCATGCTAGCAAGTCAGCCCTGTAGTTTCGTTTAAACATGTACCTGTGAAAACTGTGCCACTGAAACTTCATGTCCACTTTGCTTTTGTGAGTCTAAAGAACCAGGCCTGGTCCCTAAAGCAGTGTTCATAGAAGGGAAGGGGGGGGGGGGGAACGAGTTGTTCCTGCTGAAAATTTATTTATGTTGTCGCGCTTCACAGCGGCAATGTAACAACTGTAAATGTTAGACAATAAACTTATTTAATTAAGCTCTCTCCTGTGTCTTCTCTGTGCAAGATGTAATTCATATGCAGTTTTTGATAATTTCTAACATGCTTTGTTAGTGAGGTAGGTCTGGAAGGCTCCCTTTTTTCTCTTCATCCTTTCTAGAATGTAATTCTGATCAGTTTTTAGCAGCCTTAATTAAAAAACAAATCTCGAGATTCCCCCCTTAAAATCACTGAGCTTTTCTGCTCAGCTGTAATCAGTTCCTTTTTCCTTTTGATCTCTTCTGTCTTTTCTCATGCTTCACTTGAAAGTGATTTTGTGTTGTTTATGAAAGAAAATGTTAAACAAACTTTCTGCTTTATTTCTAAGCTAGGAGAGTCTTCCTAATTATGCATGCTCATCCAGATTTATTTCAGAGGCAAAACTTTGATATTACTTATTTGCTTATGACAACTCTTAGAACCTAACCTTTCAGCAGTGGTGGCGGCTTGCATAATCAGAAGCAGTTGACTGCCTGCAGATACACTGAAGGTTTGTTTGGCAGAAGATTTACCTAGAGGAAGCAATGACACTGAAGGAAGGTGCAGCCTGGGGGGAGGGAGAGCTGCAAGGCTGTGCCAGCTCAGGGCACAGAATCCCCCTGGCTGGGTCCCGCTCTGTTCTGGTTTGCACTAGTGGCTGTTTTGTTACTGTCATCATCGTTGCTTAGTCTGTTTTTTCTTAAATCAAACAAACCAATTTTGTCTTTTCAGGTAGTTCAGTTAGTGCTGGGAAAAGGAAGCAACCTCGTTCTGAACAGGTGGTGTTATACCACCAACTACAGTTATGCATCTTCCTTACACTGAAACCTGTGTGCAATGATGAATAGGGGGAGAAATGAGCCATTCTGAAAATTAAACAGCATTTTTATTATGATTATTCTGTCAAGGCTTGATAGACAGAGCAGTTAGAAGGAATGCTTTTTGTCAGTCACATAATTCCAGATAAAATATCAGAATCATTCCTACAAATACTTCTGTTTGCTCCACAAGCAAAGCAACAGACCTTTAATACAAGAAGAGTTACCTTTCTAAACTATCTGAATTGGGTAGTTTTCACCTAAATTTCTCATTGTCTAGTTTCAGAACTTCATAAAAGGAACTTGGAGCGGTTTCTCTGCTGCACGCTTCAGGGCCAACGCGTAAGTGTAAACCCTGGCATCCACTGCAATATGTTCTTCTGCTACTAGTTCTGGAAATAAATAAATAAAAAAAAAAAGTTATAAGATGCTGTTAAAACTTCTCATCTACAGAAATTTAAGTCCCTTACTGAAATGAAGATGTATAGCATTCCAGACATGAATTCTTAATGCTAACACCCTGTGCTACCACTGCTACCCAGCCAAGCTTCTTGCACCTTTTTGTTTAAGATACAGTATTCTAGGCTGAGAAATGCCATGAGAAGCTACGAGAAGAGAAGCTAAGGGTTTCTTGAAGCTTGCATTAGTTCATTTAATGTCAGAAAGCTCTTACCATCAATTCTTTGCAGTAGATCGTTCTTTGGAAGTGAAATAACTTCCACAAATTCTAGGAGAGAAGAAAAAAGAATTTTACACATCTTTAAATTACTGAACAGTAAAGGAAGTTACCTCAGAGTACTGTGTCTTACAATTTAGAAGGGGAAACGACTTAATGCTCATCACCCTCCAAAAGCTGTAAGCGTTCATTATCACAAAAAGGCTGATTAAATGGGGGGGAGGCAGTGAGTGGGGTCATTATAAAGCAGGTTTGACAGAAAGAAACTGGGAAAAACAGTGTAGCTGACAGCTGTGGAGGATAAGAATATTTCTAAAAGGTGACCACCTTCCTTCTGAGAATGGAAAATACACTGTTGAAGTGGACTTTTGTTTGGCTTATACTGGTACATTAATGGTTTGTAGATGTGCTTGAAGACCAAAACAGCACAAAGAGGAAAGGCTTGTTCCTAATGAATTTGTGTTGGCTTTCACCTCCCCTGTCTATCTGAACTAGTTGTCTTTGGGGCTTGACCTACAGCTGTTGTGGATTCAGTAATTTGTATTTCCTGAGATACTGGTGCTATAGGTGCAATACTTGAAGGTAATTGATGCTATAATGCCACACAGGAATTTTCTAGGCCAAAGTCAATCTCAGGTGTGTTTGATTCGGGTCAGGAGCTTAACCAAGCCCAAATGAAAAACAGTTTCAACTGGCATGTTCCAAGTAAAACTTGCCATACGAAGATCACACTTGACCTTACTGTCAATGGGAGTGCAGCTACGTAACATACCTCCATCATCTGCAAGTAAAAAAAAAAAAAAAAAAAAAAAAGGTTAAGGATTTTGAAATACACTGGAGTTTACAGCTAAAAAGCATTTTGATAGCTGACTGATCATGAGTGACACTGTAGTTACTTCCAGGGTCAAGCCCCAGCTAACAGGACTATCTAGGTTCACAAGTGCTTATTGCCTGCACTGATGTTTGGCACCAGAATTTCTCATTCTGGGTGTGCCAACACCTGACACTGAACATCCAGGCCTCCCCAGTGAATTTGGCAGAGAAACAGCTCTGCTTATCTAGACTGCAGGACGTGATTTGAAGGATGTACAGCACCTACATCAGCTGGGACAGAAGAGATGCACTGGTGGGGATAGGTCTTTTAAACCCATTCTTTAGTTATCTTCTCACAATTTTAAAATAAATGGTGCAAAACTCACCAAGTTTTTGCTTAGGTCTTGTATTCTCAGCCTCATCTCCATTAATGGTGACGCTCACAATGTGTGTCGTGCTGTTTGACAAACCTGGGTCCAGGCAGAGAGCTGCCAACAAGCACAGGTGGAAGTTCATTGTTCAAAAGCAGAAGTCAGGCATTTTGACATTTTAACAAAAATATTCACAGAAACGTATCTGATACAACAGGAGAACATATATTCGGCATACGTTCATGCTGGAAGAGTTGTGAAAAGTTCATTTTCATGTGTTGTAAAAAGTAACGTTTCTGTAACTCTCAGCTCTTTTACAGATTCCCTGTAAGCCTTGTTTTCAGCAGCTAGGTTTACTTTCCATTCCACAGACAAGATTAAGCTGTAAATTCCAATTCCCTTACAGACTTCTTCAGCCTGTTAGAGTCCAATTTTGCCATCACTTGTCTCCCTCTCTCAGTCCCCAGCACGCAGTTGTACCCGATAATCAAGAGCTGAGTCTCAACTGTATGGACATTTACTTGAAATCATATGTAAGTTGCCTCACCTTTCTAAGTTCTTAAGTTTTATTTATGATCCTCAATTTGCCTTCATTTTGGTTTATGTAGGAAGCGCTAGATTTCCAACAATCACATTCCAAAGGCTCTCTGGATTTTCTCCAGTTATTCTTGCCTTCCTTCTTTCCTGTTGGAGAACCTGAGTGCTGTCAGCTCCCCACAGCTGCCATGAGTGTGACCTTCCACTCAGGCTGCATCATGCAGCTATTTTTTATTCCTGAAGTTCATGGATGCCATTCCCATTAAGTCCAGCAATTTAGACCTTTATACTAAAATGCCAAATCACGACTTGAATAATCGGGTTTTGTGTAAAGAATCTCAGTCAATAGCAAAGTTTTCCCCTATAGACATCAAACTTTTACTTTAGTCCTGTATGTTTAACAGAAGTTCAGCAACTGACTCATCAAGGACCAAAGTCTCATTGGTACAGCTGTGGGTTACGACTCTCTGCTAATCTGCATAGACTTTTCTGCACGGCTCTTTCCTTTTGAGGATTTTAGACATTTAGAGTACATCAAAAACAGAATTAGCTTTGGGTGGGAAAATAAAAAAAAAAGCAAAGACCTGGAGTACATTCAACGACTTCCCCCTTGTACCCAGTTTCTTCCTCCAACTCTCGCAATGCAGCGCTTTCTGCAGTCTCATTTTCCTCAATGAGGCCTGCGGGATAAGTAATACACAAGAACAACTGAAAAGCTAGCACTTAACCCCAATACCCATCCCGAGATCTAACCCAGCTTTATGGAAAAGGCGAAATGTCCTCACTGCCCTATTTTTACAAAGGGATAAAATGAAGAGTTAGGGAGGATTCGAGTTCCTGGATTCATCATGCTGCTGCCCATGTCTTCAACGGATTTCTACAACTTATTTTGACTACAGAAGCATGCTGCCTTCCCACGAAGTGGCATTAATATTCTCATGAGGGAGAGAAGGCAAATCCTTTGACTCTTAGAGAAGTGAGGAGTGGAGGGAAATGCAATACTCTACTACCAGACCACTTTGCAAAATGTCTTCAATCTGCTCAAATGAACTTCCTTTGTATTCTTACCAAATATTCCTATTTCTGAATAGCACACTGAGCTACAGAGCTCACCACGATTTTCTGGTGAGAGCTACTTCATGGAGGTTGACACTCCAAGCACATCTAAGCACACTTAACCGCCATCTTTATGTGACTCATCTTAATGTTTCAGTCACTTACCTGCAGGAAATTCCAAGCAATAGCTGTTAATTGGGGGCCTGAACTGTTTCACTAGGACAATGCAGTCGTAGTGGAGAGTTCTCTGTAGTACCGCTATCACTGCTACACCTACAGACAGCAATGGATGACACAAGTATATAGAATTTGAGTATAGCAGAAAGTGAGTATTACTGGATCTGGAAAGGAACCCAAGTATTGTTACTCTGAGCATTAAACGTACAGATGCCTGCTCCAGAATCCTGAACAATGAATTTAAGCAACTTACATGTTGCTGAGAGAAAAAAAAACCCAAATGGGATCTTCAGAGTTGCCCAGTGAACGAGAGGCCCAGGTACCCAGCAAGAGTGAACCTCAGTGCACCAGCCTCTCGGGAAGGGCTCTCTTGCCTGCAGAGACGGTTTGCAAGCCATAGTATGGAACCCTCTCCTACAGTCCTTTAATGGCTCGGTTATGTCCTTTTTGCCCAAAGAGAACCATTTCCCTGGCCCCTAACAGCAAACCCAATTCACCAGTCTGTGAGCTACTCTGAAACAGGGCATCATGTTGTCTTTGAAATTGTTCCACTGTTTTAAAGTGAATACAATAATCTTGGGAAAACACTCCTACCAGTAAGGTTCTGATTCTTCAGCACTTCAGTTAGCATTTCATTAGTTCAGGGGTACAGCAAACTCTGCTGAGCTACTTGTTCTGCATCTTCATTCATTCAGAAACAGATCGTCTCTAAGTCTGCACTGTGAGTTTATCAGGAGAACTTTCACAGGAAAAAATGCAAACAAAAAATGCCAACAATGTCTTACCATCAGCTGAAACACCCTTTTTGTTGCCAGTACGCTTTACAGTTTCCCAAGTTCTGTGTAACACAGAGAAAAGAACAAAGGAATACATGAGTCATCTTTCTACCCTTGCTACTTTAATTTAAAAGCAAAATATACCATCATGCATTTCGGCTGCATAAGAAAGCAGCTGGCCCTAGGCAGGCCCTGTCATATACCCGCACTATAAAATGTCTGTAGTATATAATTTTGTTTTGCCTACTTAAAGAAAGGAGAGAGAAAGTAGTTAACTAACGATTAAGATCACTAAAAATAAGGAAAGACATAAATGTTTGTCACAGAACGGGCAAGTCTTATAAAAGTGATCCTGGAAAAGTGCAAAATAAAGCAATTTATATATAAAGCATGTCAGATTTTGAAAGGCAGTTTTGTAACATGACCACACGCATTCTTTTATCTTGCTTTTGCATAAGGTTTGTAGCTAAGTTATTGTCAACTCTCAGCTCAGTTACTTGAGCACAGAAGGAACACACAGGCAAGGAAGTCCAAAGCTTCTCTCTCTCAAAATAAGCAATGAGATGAGTAAAAACAAAAAATCCACCACCGATAAAAATCCTTTCACCAAAGCTCCAATCTTCACTGTTTTTTAAAAGGATAATTTGCTGATGAACCCAGAGGCACTAGAGAAAGCAATCAGTACAGAATCTAACACATTAATGGGAGGGACGTAAAGCCATGTTGTCACATCTAGATCAATACAGCAAAACTAAAGCATACTAAAGAATTGGACAGGTGTGATAACACACAAGAGACAGTAATTTGTCAGTACTGTGCAAGATCTAGTACCATCAGCAGGGAAAAAGGAGCCCTTAATGAAGAACCAGAAAAGCCACAGGACGGACTCTCTGATCGTCCCAGTCTAGTTGCATGGCCAGAACTTGCTTCTGCAAAGTGTCTTTACAAGGAACAGAAAATATAAGGTGAACCAGGGTCCAAGGTTCCCAGAAGGATTTAGGAGCCAAATTTGATCCCAGTGCCAGCACATCTGGTAAAGAATTTTTTTTTTTCTCTGAACAGTACAAATCATAAAGGAGTTGCACAATGAATAGATCTCATCTTGTGTTGAGTAATAGGTTTGTAAGGCTCATATTCTCTAGCCTGGGGCTAGTCCATACAATTGGGAACATTATAGGAATGCCTGTAGGAATTATCTGAAACGCCAGAGAGGCATTTACCTGGTTTTACCAAACGGATCAGTATAAGTTGTTTCTTCAAGCTTCAACCATTTCCTTTCTACAATTACCTAAAATAAAGAATATTTTGTTAAATACATTATAAGATTAATCCTAAAGATTTGGGGGCTATAGGGAGAAACAACTGTTTTTGGATTCTTTTGAAGACAAAATCTCGGCATCAGAATACACATAGGAACATGCAACAACATTCCTGTAGCTAATATGGAAAATCCCATTTACTCTAAGTTCTCAAACAGGAATTGAAAATAAGTCCAGTAACTCTTCTTAACGTGACTTTTATAACAAAGTTTCCCTGAATCCAGTGGGATTTTATGTACTGGAAAGTCCTCATCTTTTTAGAAGGATTTTGCAAAGTTCATGTTTCAGCTGAAAAAGAAAAAAGGGTCACTGGTCTGCACAGGCTTCAGCTACGCTGGTCATCACGAGTGCCCACTTATCAGAGAGCATGGCCTAACAGCTAAGCATGCAAGACTGAAACCCAAACTATTTTGAAACTTTTCTTGCCCTGATCTCAGACTGTGGCCTTGTGTAGCTGCTGGTTTCTGTAACTATGAGCAGTGATACATACCTGCGCTTTTAGCATTTCTGAGAGTTGCTGACTGAGTGATTGGCATTAACATTATTACAAAATGTCTTTTCTGAGCTAAATGAGGTTATTTGCCCTGTGAATTTCTCTCATCTTTTATGTAATTCCTTTAAAAGGGAAAAATCCCTAGGTATTAGCCCAGCACTTTACTTTTAATGTAACTTGTATTTTAAGCTTTGCTAAAGGTATAGGCAGACAAGAAGCTTGTCTCCAGAATTTTGTACCAAGTTGGCCACAGGATTGACCACAGAAATCAGAAGCAATCAGTAAGATGAACAGATCACTTCCTATTGTCTAATGAGATACACTGCTGACAGCAACAGAGCAAGTGTAAGCAAGGGGAAAAAAGGATTGGGGAAAAAACCCACAACATTAAATTATAATGAAGTCTGAGAGGTCATTCATGTGGTTGGCACACTATGATCCTCCAGTGCAGGACAAAGGGCAAATAGAGCCTGTGTGGCCATGTAGATTTTGAACCTCAAAGTGAGAACTTCACCAACTTAAAATACAGAGAAATTAAATGTAGTGTATGATGCAGCTCTAATCAGAGTACAGCATCAGCCGGAGGCAGAAGGCAAATCAGAAGTGATTCAGGTATCCAGTAAACTGTAACTGCGCTGGAGGGACTCATGTAGTTCTTAAAATATGTTCTTCAGAACAACTGCACTGATAGGCAACTGAAGTAACAATAGCACTCCTATGGCTGTAAACATGGCTACACGTATTTTCCATGTAGTAGTTCTGGCATTTATTTTGGAAAGTATAATATTTCCATGTAACAGGAATTGGAGAGCTATGTGCTTTCAAAAGGGCCTTCTAATGGCTTTGTGGTTACAAAAACAGCAGGAAAGGAGAAGATGAAGTATATTATGCTCATTACAGGTTCAAGAAGTAATTCCATTTGGAAGCACTGAGGTATATTTTAAATAGTTTTGTATTCACTCCTAAATCACTGCAGAACTACAGTACAGTAAGATCCAAAGGAGAAACAGATGAAAATCATGTTCCATTGGTTGTCCAAGGAGAGGAATATATATACTTCAGTTAAGTAAACACAGCCAAATGTTTTGTGTTAATGATTTTTTGTAAACATTGCAGAGAACACAAAGGCCTAGATTATTGATTGTGGTCCCATTTTGCTGCAGCACTCAACAGAACTGGCAGATCATTACCTCTGTCACCAAGCTACTATCTGCTAAGCAGAAAGGGGAAAATGGTTCAATGGTTCAAATCAGAGGTGTCCCCAGGAATCTTAGAAGAAAAAGAAATCCCTAGTCTGTAAGAAACTAGACCTTTCCAAGCTCCAAAAATACAAAAAAAAAAAAAAAAAAAAAAAAAAAAAGAAGAAGAAAGAACTAGGTTTTACGTGTATAAAACAAACAACGTCAAACAAAGTGTCTTGTTTTTAATCAAGTATTCTTACGTACAGCTTTTGGCCTCTACCGTCAAGGAGCAATAGTTAAAAAGTACCATAAGACATGTAGCATAAATATTTACAATGGAAGTTGTTCCACAATCCTCTAAAGTTAGGTAAACCCCCTTGCTGCTAACAGCCTACCAGGGTTAGAAAACTGAAAGCTGCCAGCTTTCACTGGAAGAAAAGAGAATTTTGTCACCTGCCTTGTCAGGTGCACAGTTAAGACCTGTGGAAGCTGGCCCGGAAGCATAACTTCTGCTTTGCTAAATCCCCTATTTAGGGCCTAAGAACACTGCAAGTTGTGTTGCATTACCATACTTAGTTTCAGAATGAGTTATTTTTATTGCTTTACCTATTACTTTGATGGGCAAATAACATCTGCTTTCATCTACAACAGCCTGACTGTGGGTTCCCAGAAATAGGAAGAAGGAAATAAGATCAGCTGCTACTTTCATGAAATATATTCCAACATCAGACCATGTAGTTACTGAAGAGTTACAGACCCACTTTTAGTATAAGGTCCACTGACCGAGCCACGGTAAATACTCTCCTACATTAATCCCACAAAAAGACTGAAAAAACTAAGCAGCTTAAAATATGTAAGATCTAATTACAGACAATCAATGACACCAAAGAGTACAATATTCCAAAGGAGAAGAACTGAGAGGCATTATGAAAAAAAAAAAAAAAAAAAGATAAAATGAAAATGTTATCTGCAAAAACACAGGTCTTAATAGAAAACCCAAAGCCTACAAAAATGAAACTCCTTCTGCCTGAGAAATATTCATATTAAAAAACTACCCAAGGGGAAGAGCCATAAGTATATCCCAACAATGTGAGTCTCATCTTTCCCGAAAAAGTTTTGCACCTTGAAACCTAAAGAAATTACAAGACTGTTAATTCCAAGAAAGGAACACTGGATAAAATAAACTGTATCTGTGTTATAACAACAGCATGACGCTGTTGCCAAACCTGCCTTTGACACCAAAGATTAACTTTTAAGAATTCACTTAAAAGATAACAGAAACAAATATAGGCACTGTTTAAATTAGGGTGAAAGTGCTCCTAATAAGCATCCAGAAGCACCTCCAAATTCCTCCTCAGAACCTGATACTTTCTGATGCTGTGAAGATGCAAGCACAGTATTTTTGCAAAAATCTTACTACCTCCTTACTGATGTCTGTGGAACAGCAATTACCTAAATTAAAACCCTTTCAGAAAGCACCATGGAAGGTACAACCCTAAATGATAAGGCAAGTCTTTGCTGTTCATCATCTTAAATGAACAGAATACAAGGCTGAGTTTCATGATCCACCAATTTGCAAAGTCTCTCAGAGGTATCACCATTATTTCTGAATATTGAAAACAGTCTGAACAGATAATAGCAGAAATAGCTGCAAAATCTGAAAAAAAGAAGCTTAAAATAATGCAACACTGTAGAATTCTCCCTCCCCATTGATAATTTCTATGATTATTTCAATAAATAGAAATGCCACCTTTTTTAAACATTCTGACCATCAGGAAGAAGTGGTTAGTCTATTGAATAGATTTTTACAAACATAGCGAATCTATAGCATTTCTTACTCTGCACTCACAAACACTCTGATCAGTCTCAAACAATTGTTATTTAACAACAGAATGTGTCAAAACCAAGCATGTTATACCTCTTCTTTAAGGACGAATTGTTTAGCAGTTTTTGGAACTTCTGTGGATGTGTCAGCTGCCATTTTCAGGAATGTCAGGCTTTTCTCCTCCTGTACAAAGTCCAGATTACTAGGAAACAAAGTCAATATTTGCTTTCAGAGTAAAGTTAAAAGGTTCATTTTTGCATTCTAAATTAACAAATAATACCTGCTAGAGAAAGTTAGGGACATGTGATGACAAGTACAATTCACATTTTCAGCTCCTCCTGATGGTTTCAGAGTCAAATAATTCAAAGGAGAAGCGGAAGTTTGGGTCAAATCCCTGACTTCCATAGTTGTAACAGTCCTATCAGCTGCCGAGCAGCTACGCTGGCTGAAGACACTCTCACTAACTATTCAAAGGTTGAACACACACAGAGACAAAATTGGTCCTTTTCAGTCAAATTGTTTCATTCTGATCTGGGTGAAGTGCTCTGTCAACACAGCCTGGCCACAACGGGACTACGCACTCCACTGCGAAAGTGGGAAAAACCTTATACCCAGAGGACTTCCGTGGTAAAAATCGCCTGCTATTGAGAAAGGATCAGAACTAGAACCTGCCTCCACCTTACACACATCACAAATAAGCATGTAAATGACTCAAGCCTTCCCCCAAAAAACAAGGTCAAAAAGTCACCCATATGTTGCAAGTCTAGGTGGCACGTGGAGTTAGTGTGACCAAAGCAGGTCAGTTTCTATTACTAGGAATGATGTGGCTGGCACCATGCAAAAGGCAGTTTAATATATGCCCAAAGCAAGGCTGCACCTGCAGCAAAATGCCTCAGCCTGCATCGTAATGCTCCCTGGAAGGCTAAGATTGTCCACTCACTCTCAGTCCAGCTCTAGCAGAAAGGCACACCAGGCAGCAGAGATTCACCATTAGTTCCCTGTCTCACTGCAGAGCTACAGGGCACTTTCAGCACAGAAACTTATTCCACGGAAGCTCGTCTCTGATATTAAATTGTAATATTGAAGTCCTGAAAATCAGCATGAATCATAAGCAAAAAGACAGTGCAAAGAAGCAAACCAGTTTAAACACCAGGAGAGACAAGATAATCTTAAAGATCTCTATCATTCTTAGCTATGATGGTTGTAAACTTTCCATGAAGTCAACAGGAATCTTTCCACTGATTTGAACTAGGGTTTAATAAGCCTCTGTGGAGTCTCTAGCAATCAACACTACCAGAAATGAATGATGACCTTCTCTGTCATACCCCATTTTAGCACTTCCACTTTTTACTTCATTTTTATCTTTTTATGACAACATCTACTGCACGTTTGTGAAACATTTAAGAGCATGCAGCAACAGTCAGCTTTCTTACGTATTAGATTTGCATTTAATTCCACAAAGTAGTTAAAATAAATAGGCAATACAAAACATTTCTGGTCAGCAGGGGATTAAAACTAATGTGCATAAATCCATTTTCTCAGTATGTACAGAGGGCAGGCTTTTCCTTAAGTCTTAAGACAGTTTTGTTGGATGAAGTAGGTCATAGTGGCCAAGCATTTAAATTGGTTTTATGTAACATAAGTTCCGAAACGGAACTCTGACCTATTAAACTCAATTCTGTTCTTACAAAAATATGTTCTATAATCCCTTAGAGCAGTGAAGCTCTGTCTTAAAACTACGTAGGTTTACTATCTACCTTACTATTTGTGTGAAAAACTGTTCTAGAACCTCACTTGCTTATCTCCCAATTTCTATCCCACGTTAGTTCAGTTAGCTGTTACTCGTTTTTTCTGAAGCCCGCAATGTCTCAAACTCTCTTCACACAGTATTTAAGAGCTGTAGCTGGACAGTGGTAATGGTCTCTTGCTGTGACCCTAAATTACAAGATCAGGCTTTCCACCAAACACACAAGAAGCGCAGCCCAGCATAGTAGTTCCAAGAAGTTCCAGGTCATCCAGAGGAAACAAAGGAGGCTCTGTATCATGCCCAAAGTATACAGCTTTAAAAATATAAAAACCTCACATACACAGCTACAATAAATTCACCTCCTATGTTTGGAAGGAATTATATCCTTTTTTACTGACAATATAAACTTATCAAAAGAGTAGAGAGCGAGCCATATCCTTGTTAAACTCTTTTTTTGATCAAGCTGAATAAGTCTTCCTCTTGTAGTCTCCCCTCACACAAAATCCTGTTTCATTGATCATACTAATCCTTGTACATAAGCTTGCAAGTATCAGTGTATCTTTCTGAAATGTGGATTACCACAATTGCGCCCTAAATCCCACAAGCAGCTACAGTAATGGTTTGTACAGCAGCTTTAATACTTACCTATATCAATTATAAATACATACTAGAACCTCATTTCATGGCAGAAGCTCTTTTCAACACAGCTTGCTCTCTTCTGCAGTGGACAGATTCAAGGGTGGCTTGAAACCTAAAATGGCAAAAAATTATACAGCTTCATTGGTTTGAATTATCACTAAAATAGGTGAAAATGAGAGAGGACTCATCAGCTTCTGTAGTTTTGATCTCCTCCACAAGTGGGTGCAATAACTCCATATATAAGTGACATTTTAAAAAGTTCCACCAAAAAATTTTTTCCAAAATCAGTTGACCGTACAGAAGTGAGAATTTCTGCTGTTAGAAAGCTAAAATACCATTTGGTTAAATGAAGACTGCAATTCTGGTATCTCACATTAGTCATACTGTCAAGGGTGGCAATGCTCTTTGTTCATAAACAAAATTAGCTGCAACTGAAAATTAACACTACAATGTTAGATTTCAGAATAGACCTGATCCAGCAGCCCTCAGACAGGAAAGTTCTCCTATCTCATAAAATTACAACTGTATCATTTGAGTTAAAAATGCAAAAGAGTTTGCCCAGCAGCCTGGGAATCTGACTACCTGACTTATAATTACATTAACTCTATAAACTTTTAATAATTATCAGTGCAATCTTAAGAGTATGTCAAAGTGTCCACATTTATCAATCTGATAATCAACAGCACCTGAACTACAAATTATGGGGGGGAAAAAAAAAAAAAGTTTGGCCTGCTTCTACCTTCTGTAATGACTTTTGAGGCTAGTTTTACAGGCTACTGCTGGCAAATCATACTACTTGTTCCATTTATTTCATGTGGAAGTCAAACTCAAACCTGAAAAAAGGCATACAATTTATAAAAGGTATAACTTTATTCCCATTGCTTATTCCCTTTGTCTACCCTTGTCTTGAAAGGAGTGCCTTCCTTTCAAGGCAACATCTAACCATTCTAGTTTCCAAATTACGCTTCCCAGGACTTAAAGCCTTAAACCAACTGAGGCCTGTGAATGAGTTTAGCAAGTAGCTAAGCTGTTGAGGCTTTACATTAACCTATCAGAGTCACAATAGGTGCATTTGCTTTTCTAAATGACTTTTCAAAATCTGTTCTCTGATCCAAACTACACATCCAAGCAGACAGCAACCAGATTTAATGGAAGCTCCGCAACAGCATCCTATGGCAAGCTAAAGATAAAACAAAATACAGGGCTTCTTATAAAGAATGTGCAAAAGGGACACTAGCAGTGTTTTATGCACGATTTACCCAACAGCACATTGAGATACATGTGCTGAAGATCACTGCAAGCTCCTAAGTCACTTTAAACTTGTTACCATCAGTCAGCACGCTTGCATTTCAGCAGTATGATTTGAGTAACAAAGCCAATAACTAGCATAAGTTGATAGGAGAGAGGAAAAAGACGGGGAAAATGTTTTATTTTTGTCATGGTATTTAGCAGTGTGGATGACCTGCTCAGCACCAAATGAAATATGGAAAAAATAAGTGGTTCTCGCCCTGCAGAACACACAACAAAGGCTACCTTGCATAAACAGAAGAGGGTTAGCAGCATCTCGACATTGTTATAAACCTTCCAGACAACTGGTGTGTGAGAGGGCTTCGACAGACAGCCTCAAACGGCAGATGCAAGAGCATCGCACAGAAACGACTCGGCTCTCCGTGCAGGGGACATGCAGGCACAGAGACAGCAGAACCACGGGGCTTAAAAAGAACTTATTACTCGGTTATTACTTGACTCTTCCCCATATGAAACGAAACGCAGCCCTGCTTGAGAGAAAGCCCTGTCGCCGCAGAAGCTCCGTTACAACGCTGGAGAGATGAAACCTCACGCAAGCACACGCAGAGCAAGGAAGCAAAGCCTGCGAGGCGGGAAGAACACCCGCACCTTCCCTAAGGCCAAGGTTTTCAATGGAACCGCCTGGAAATACCCTGTCTCGGGCCACGCAGACGTACGAGGCTGGGAGAGCGGCCCGGCAGCTGAGGGGAGTCGCGGGCAGGCGGCAGCGGGACCGAGCAGCGCTGAGGTGAAGGCGGAGGTTGAAGCGGAGGCGAAAACTGAGGTGAAGGCGGAGGTTGAAGCGGAGGTGAAGGCGGAGGTTGAAGCGAGGCGGCAGGCGGTCGCGGCCCTGAGGCGGGGCCTGTTGCCGCCACGCCCGGTGCGCCGCTAATGGCGGGCCGGGTGGCGCCGAGAGCGACGGGGCGGTGGGGTGGGAGGTTCCGGGCGGAGCGGGAGCTTCCGGGAGCACAGTCGGGCCGGGTCCGGGTTGAGGATGAAGAAGGAGCAGGTGGTGCATTGCCAGTTCTCCGTGTGGTACCCGCTGTTCCGCGCTGTCACCATCCGCAGGTGAGGGGAGCGGTGCGGGGCTGGGGGCCGGTGGGGCCTGGTGGTGTGGGGCTGCGCGGGGTGTAGGCCCGGGCGCGGCGAAGGGCTGGGAGAAGCGGGTGTGGGGCTGAAGACGGGCGGGTGTGTTGGGTTGGGTTGGAAGTGGGTTTGTGTTGGGACAGGGTGAGATCTAGGGGAACTGCGTGGGGCAGAGTGGGGGTGGAGGTGGGGAAGGCTTGATCGAGCTGGGCGTCTCATCCGTGCACCCCGAGGGGGTGTTTGGGGTAGGCCAGGCACCCCGAGGGGGTGTTTGGGGCAGGCCGGGCACCCCGAGGGGGTGTTTGGGGCAGGCCGGGCACCCCGAGGGGGTGTTTGGGGCAGGCCGGGCACCCCGAGGGGGTGTTTGGGGGTGTTTGGGGCAGGCCGGGCACCCCGAGGGGGTGTTTGGGGGTGTTTGGGGCAGGCCGGGCACCCCGAGGGGGTGTTTGGGGCACGCTGTTTCTATAGCTGACCCCTGTGCTCCCTGCTGTTCTGGTGGGACCCCGCACTGAGCACCGCTGATAGCCACATCACTGCTGTTCCCACCTGGTTGCTCCAAAAAGCTGAGGCTGAATACACCCAAGCCAAGTGGCTGGCTTCGTGTTTTGCTGTGTTTCTGGAAGCTGGAGCAAAGTCAGTGGTTTTTAAGGTGCTGCTGCAGGTCACCAGGTGGTTATGAGAACTACCAGTAACTCAGGAAAGTCAAGCTCAGGGCAGTTGCGTTGTTGGATCAAAAAGCGCTGACATCAGGCTTTTAGTAATCAAAGCATTTAATCTTTGATGATTTTTGCTGTTTAGAACATGCATATTTTTGGTAGCTTTAGTGATAGTCCTTCATTTTTGGAACATTCAGGTGGTATAGGCAAATTTTGGTTTGGATGTCAGACGGGAAACCTTTAGTTTGAGCAACATGTTGTCTCCTCACTGGCCACACGCTTTCATTGAATTTCTTAGAGCTTTGAATGAGTGGGGCATTTTTGTGCATTTTATCTAAAATTTTTGCCTCTTTCTCCTCTACTTCCCTGGAGAGAAAATGAGCATTGCTTTTGGGAAAGGAAGAGAGGGGAGAAAGAGAAATGTTATGGTTTTTGTTTTTTTTTTTTTTTTTCAGTGTTAGAGAATAAAACATACTGTTATTGAGGTATACTCGATTAAAAACCAAATTCTTTTTATTCAACTTTTGTTATTATTTTAACAAGTAATATTAATAATAAATTATTAAAGAAATTCTCCTGTTTCTTCCAGTGTTATACTTCCCCTACCAGAGAATGTGAAAGAATATTTGCTGGATGATGGAACACTTGTGGTTTCTGGAAGGTAAAGAGTGTTTTCCCCCCACCCTCCAAATATTAATACTATTTTATACGCACAGCACTGTTTTGTATACACAGATTATATTTTGCATAATGAGTTTTTTTAATTTGACCCGTCTGGCTGCAGTAAACCTCTTACTGTATGAGCATGTCAATGGACTGTTGCTGCTAGTAGAACTTGACTTGCTGGTGCTTGATGCGGATCCTAAAATCCATTTAATACACTTGAATCTAGACCAAGTAGGGGCAGTTCTTTCATTCTGTACTTGCAGAGTCCACCAGTCTCTCGGGTGCACGGTCAGCTGGTTTGTGGTTTGGTTGCTTTGGTACAGTTAGCTCCAGTTCAGAGGCTTGACCCATCCCATGCCACTCACATGCCTGCTGCCTTAGCCAGGGGTGAAGTGACATTACCTGAGTTTAATTCTTAATAAAATAAGCTATATGTAGAATCTTAGTGATTATTGAGTTTGTATAATCATTTGCATATTTATAATCAGTGCATATGACAGGGCCGTATGTCTTGTATGTTATACTTATGCCAAGATTTTTGGATGGAGAAGAATGAGGTGGATAGATATAAGAAACAGTTGGTAAGAACCCAATTTTTGTTCTTTGTTTTCTGCTCAGAATCTCACTGTATGGCTTCCTTGTAAAATGATTATTGCATCCATACATCTTGTTGGTGATCAGACTCAGAAATCAGTCCACACTCCATCATTTCCCAACTGGTAGTTTGCCTCACACAGAGCAACCAGTTAGGCTGTGAGTGTAAGGGAGCTATGTCTAATTTTTCAGGAATCAATTTGTGTGAAATTGAAGGTGTTTAAACACCGTGTAAAGATGAAAGGTTGTCTTCTTTTTTTTTTTTTTTTTTTTTAATAAAAGGCATCCAGAAAATTATAATTGTTTTTTAAACCATTTTGGATAAGAAGTAATACTGTCACCTGCTTTTGCAGAACTGTGCAATTTATTTAGCAGCAGCCATTTATTTTTTAATAAGCCTTCAGAAAAGCTGAAACAGAGTTTGATGCTATACAGCTGTTATACAAACAATTTCTCTTGTCTTCAATGGAATAATAGAGAGCTCTACAATTGACTTAAATTATATATTTTTAAGATGTTTCCAATTTAAAATCCCTTTTAGAAACCATTTTTTCTCTGAGTTGAACTTTCTTAGCTAAAACTAAATGTGATCTTCTTGCTATCAAGGCCAAGATTGCTTTTAATCTTCAGTGAACCTCTAGATGTCAAAAACTGAATTGATAATTTAATCCCTACGGAAGTTCATTAAGGGACTGCAGAGGCTTAGCTTGTTGAAGAGTTGACTTTTGGCAGGGATGTACATTTGCATTTAACCTGTTTGCTACTCTGACTTGCTGTGAATAAGTCTTCTTCAAGAGCTTGGTCTTTTCCTTTAAGATCTTCACACTCAGTTATATTGGCTAAAGAACTTCAAAAGTCACCTAAAACTTCAAGGGAATATTTGCAGTCAAGTGCTTTCTCCCAGATATTCTAGTGTTTAAAACAGCAGATTTCACCTGTGTAGAAAAAGGAACTTTACAGGAAGAAGCTAATGACTGTGTATCCACTTTCTGTAGGATCTTCTTTCCTATGTGCGGAGTGTGAGGACATTTCCTTTTCAGAACCAGAAATTCACAGGTCAACATCTGAAACTCAAGTTTTATAAGTTTTTACTTGGAAAAGGAGTATGGAGGCAAAGCATAATTTAAATTGAACGTGTTTAAAAGAAAAGGTTTGTTTAATTTTGCTTCCGTCAGAGTACAGTAAAGTTGGAAAATAATGATTCAAAGGGTGTTGAAAAGCTTCAATTATGACATTTTCAGAGCCGAAACTGATCTTCTACTTTGAAAGAAGCAAAGTGTTTTGGGTAGGGCCCAAGTCTAATGCCAGAGTGCTTGGTCTTCAGTTTTCTGTACTGTCTTGCTCTGATTTTACTCTGCCAGGGGTTTTGATGCCTAATCTTACAAAAGCATTTTGAGATCAACAGCTGCTAGATGTTGTGGAAATTTAATGTATATGGTCAAGTCAAACTCCAGTGCTTAATTTTTTTTCCTGGTAATTTTTTGTTTTAGAGAAGATCCACCAAGTCATGCTCAGGAGGGGAGCGATGATGCAGAGGAAATACAGGTCAGTATAAAATGCAACTTAATGTCAAGTCTCTTGGGAAAAATACAAATGTGTAACCTTTTCTGCATAATTTATAGGTGAGGAGAGTACTTCACAAAAATAATAATCACATGGTAGTTGCCTTGAAAAACCTAAAACCATCATTATTTGTACTGTGACATATGTGCTCTTTCACAGGAGACTTTTTTTTTTTATTTTATTTTTTGATAATTACATTTGTAATAATGAGTAGGGAATATTGAAGCATGTTGAAATTTAACTTAATGCTGTTTAATGCCCTGAAAAATTAGAAGGAAGACTACATTCAGAGGAGATTCAAGAAATTCAAGTTATTTCAAGAAACAATTAAAGTTTCTGAGGACATAATAGCTCAGAAGGGTATTCTAGAAGAGAAACACTGAAAAATGTTGTCAGTGCAAGGTGACAAGGTACAGAAAGGAAATGAAAAAAGAAATATAAGTGAAACTAATGGATCATGGGTGTAAGGGTGGAAGCGCTGGAGCTGGACATAAGCTTTAGACAGGGAAGACTGAGTTCTGAAATGTCCAAGTTTGTGGTATAAATCACAATTAAGATATATGGGTGTCATCTTTTATCCCAACTTTAGAGTAGTACTTCTGCTGAATATACAGTACTTTTCCTGTCTTAATTTACAGCCGTAATAATTAGAGGATGGTGATAATATGCTACAGGAGCTCCAGGGCAATGATTTGATCTACTGGTTGTAAGAAGCTGTATGAATTCTGTTGTTCTCGTAAATTATAAAGGATGTCTCAGGAAACCAGTAACCTTTGATTTGTGCTTATTTTTAACAGTGGTCGGATGATGAGAATACTACAACACTTAAGGTAAGATCCTGTCAAAGTCTAATGTGGGTTTGTCAGCAGCATCCTTCCTGCAAACCTGTGATATAAATTTGTTGCCAGTTAGAGATACATTTTTCAGACCATTCTAGACAGATGGTAGTGTAGATGTCTGTAACTTTAAAAAAGTTTTGCTGGCTTAATTTTATTTAACTAAAAATAAAATGCTTTTCTTTATCCCCAACAATCACACACTTGTTAGACTATAGGAAATGAACTGAAGTACGGCTCTAAATATAGCTGTCTTTCATTTTCACCACTTTGAATATCTCCCAGTTACTTAATCAGACTGGATGCAGAAGAAATGAAGCCCCTGCAGCTCAATTTTCACAGCTCTTCTCTTACACCTGTGCCATTATTTCTTTCTAAGTGCATTTCTTTGTCATCCTCTTTTTTTTTTTTTTTTTTCTTTTTTCCCCTGTCTTTCTGCCATTCTTGCACTGTGCCTCTCTTAGAATCAGCATCATGATGGATACGAACCAGGCTTTCTTGACCTTTTTTTACATCTTTGTTGAAACTTGCTGTTGCCCTATCAGTGTTAGAGTTGATACATTTGTGTCACTTGTCTGCCATTGATACTATTACTTCAGTCCTGTTAGCTCCCTAATGCTCAAGGTAGTGTTGAATGGCTCACACTGAATTAGGTGCAATATAAGCACAGCTCTGCTTTGAGTTGTGCTTATGCTAGCACAGATTTTATAGCCTAGATTTTAAAACTAATACGTGCCATATTTCCACACACTAATAGCTTCAGTTCAAATATCTAAGCTTTCATAAAGTAGATGCCTTAAATTGTAAATTATTCAGAACAAGGATTTTGGTATCCATCTTTTACAAAGCTCATGTTAATGTTGCTAAAGAAATAATATCAGACTTCTGAATCAGGTTTCATTATAGTGTACAACACAATAAGGAAATATATAATCAAGAGGTATGATACCCATTAGAAGGGTATAGGCCAAGTGCCTTCAGTTTATCTAGGTAAGCACTGTGTAGAGGTTGCAGCTTTACAACTGACATTTTACCAGACCTGGGTGGGATGGAGTTAACTTTCAGCTGTGGGCTGAACAGTGCTTAGAGAGCATCAAGGCTTTCTCTTTTCCCAGTCTGCCCCATGCCCCTCCCCAGTGACTAGGCTAGAGGTGGGCAAGAGAAGGAGAGGGGACAGAGCCAGGACAGCTGATTCAAACTCTCTGAAGGGATATTGCATACCATATAGCATCATGCTCATTAATAAAAGCAGGGGTAGAGAAAGGTGTTTTGGCCTCCAAAGTGGCTCTTGTTCAGAGACTGGTAGGGCTTTGTTTTTTACCAAACCTGGAACTTTGAAAATGGTTGATAATGAACATGGTTTGTGCCTGTGGCTAGTGCCTACAAAAATACACCTATGTTTAGACAAAGAGGCTCTAAAAGTAGAATTTCACAATGAGCTCCTTACCATCTTGTAAATTTGGTAGGTGATTGCTCTTAAGACTCCATCCATGGCAAACACATTTTCTCTGCCTGAAAACTGGACTGCTCTGAGGCCAGTGAGTGAATGGAAATAGTCTTGTGCTTTTAAGCGTTGCCTGTTACCACTTTGACAGCAATGAAGAGAGGGAAGCAGCAGCCTATGTAGAGTACAGAAGGGTGGGGAGCTGCATCTGGAGTTACCGCAAGAGATAAGAATGTAGTAGTGATGTGGCAGCTGAACAGGGAGACACTGGGGAATTTAATGGGTAGAGAATAGTAGTACTGGCTGGAGACTGCTATTGTACATTCACTGTCAGCCTCGGGCATTTGTATCTTACTAACAATAAATCCCAGGTTATAATTCTCTGTTGGTTTCTTGTCTCAGGGAGCAATAAGGTGGGCTGTGGCTGTGATTACTCTGATTTGATGACCTGCCTGAGTCATCATGTAGAACTTGTTTCCTTTGCCCCTTCTATATTCTGAAGAATAATTAGAATATAGGGTTATAGAAAATTCTGTGTTTAAAAAAATGTGCATTAATATTGATGATTGCGAAGTTAGGCATTCAGAATTTAGGAGATGTTAGAATCTCACCTGTTTATGCAGCCTCAGAGCTATTCTCCTGTGTATAATTCTTCACTTGTATTAATCAAATGACATGATGATAACATTTCCCCAGGGAGGCTTAGTATGTGCAGGTATTACATATATAGTATGGCTCCTGACTTCTGTCAAAACAAGAGGAGATTGGATCAGAATTCAGTGGATGAAGAGTTTCAGTTCTTGCAGGAACAATTTCTAGAATCGACTGAAGCTCTAAAAGTAAAGTAAAATAAGAGAAGTGCTTTTTCAATTTTTCAAATGTAGTTTCCCATGGAGACTAGGTAACATACTAAGGAAAGATTCAGAATGTTTAAAGTTCAGTCTGGGTCACTGTGCTAAAATGTGAGAGGTTTTTTTTAAGTGTTTGCATTTGAGGGGGCTGCAGAAAGGAGATGCCAGAATGTATGAACTTTTTTTGATCACTTGTGTGGCTGAGAGGGCTTTGTTTTTTTAGAGACATCAATTAGCTCTAGCCTAGAAGTTATCTTTGAGTTGAGTTGAAAAATACTTGGGCACAAAGAGTGTTCTTATACAATTTTTACTATAAATTCTATTACATGAAAAATCTTTGACATATGCCTGAAATCCTTTCGTATTATTTTAAAGGTCAGCAATCTGTTTTTTATTATTGCACCTAATTCTGAGTGGAGTTTATAGAATTCTGAGGAGGTTTTTTTCACCTCTCATGTTTCCAACATTGACAATGTTCTTTACAAGACAAGGTTTTCTAGTCCAACCCATACCTTCGCAGTGTGTCTGTCCTCTAGTTTGATGCAACGTATTGAAAGGAGTTACTTTAAGAGCTGATTAGTTAAAGTATTACTAACAATAACAACATTTTGTTAAACTGAAGCTTAAATGAGGTGGTGTCACTCAAATTGCTTATGAATTGATTTATTTACTTTTGCTCTCTTACTGTGCTCCTAAAAGCAACTAGAGAGCTATTACAAAACAGAACTGATCTCTTTCTGCCTTTTAATACTATGGCAGAATGCTACAATATTTGTATTTTAGAATTTTTAAAGAGATGCTTAATTCTAAACAAACTATTTTTGAATGTTTGTTTGGTCTAAAATCTTCTTGGATCTTATTTATATACAATACCAACAAGTATAAAACAACAGCAATGTATTTAAGGTCTGTTTGACTTGCACATTTGCCAACTGTTGCAGCTTTCATGATGAACTTTATGAAGTTTCAGGTTTTCATCAATTCATGAACTCTTGCTAGCAATGAGAGTGAGAACTGGAAACGTATTTTCAATTTTATCTGGTTAAAAGAATGTCAGGGTTGATTCTGATTTATTTCTACAAATACATTATTTTTATGGGGTTCTTGGTTCCTGATTTTGGACATGTTTGTTCCTTCTATAACATGTATTTCTAATGGTATTTAGAAGATGGTTACATTTCACTGTTAAATATATTGAAATTTATATTTTTGTTGTTGTTCTTTGTTCAGGCACCAGAATTTCCTGAGTTCACAGCTAAAGTTCAAGAAGCAATAAGTTCCTTGGGTGGCAGTGTTTTTCCTAAACTTAACTGGAGTGCTCCAAGGGTAAGAATGCTGACTCCCAAAACTTGCAACAGATGTTACCGTAAGGATTTTTTGTTTGTTTTATATTAATGCGTTGGAAAGTAGAAGAGACTAGTGGTTCTGATGAAGGAAGATGTGATAAACAAGGTTTCAGTGAAGTATGATAGAGCAGATTGTTGTGGTGGATTAGAGCTGGATGGTGAGGCTGATGCAAGACAGCACTGGTTGGCTTACATAAAACCCTGTGTCCTTGTCACAGATAACAGTACAGTGGTCAGACTTGTCTCATGTAGGATACTAGTTGAAAACTTTGCCTGGGATAAATATTAAAACCCCCACATTTTTAAAAAAAGCAATAAACTTCCCTCTAGGTATTTTTAGATACTCTTAACTATACTCTAAGGAGGGGTGCACCCAAATTTTTTTGTATCATATTCTTAAGAGAAACTTGTGTTCAGTGGAGCATCCCAAGAAAATGCCTTGAATCAGTAAGGCAAAAACTTTGTTTTTTTAATGGATTTGCTCTGCTTTCAACAAGAGTATTCACAAGAAAAGCAATAACTATTGTGTCTCTAATAATAGCTAATGAAGTTTTCCTCAAAATAAAAAAATAATTTTCTGTATTTCAAATGTGGCATAATATTTAGACAGATCTGCAGCTTGCATTCCTTTCTGCTAGTAAAGGTGCATTTTTGGACAATCTCCTTTTTTGCTTAGGATGCCTACTGGATAGCAATGAACAGCTCTCTGAAATGTAAAGCTCTCAGTGATATCTTCCTCCTCTTCAAGAGTTCAGACTTCATTACTCGTGACCTCACTCAGCCGTAAGTAGATTTCTAGTAGACAAACTTATTTCTACCCAGTCAAAAAAACCCCAACCCTCTGAGGGTAAATTTTCAGTTCTTTTGAAAGATCTTACTCTTTACTGTACAGCATCAATAAATATCTGATACAAAAATACATATTTGTATATAAAAATTGTTCAGGTATGGTAATACAAGTTTCAGGTACAGTAATAAGTTAGTTGGGTTTTGAAGCTCTCCCCACGCCTTCCCTCCTTCATCTCCCTCCACCATGCAAGAATAAATGCCGTGTCCAATTTAGTGCAGAGAATTGCAAGGTAAATTATCTTCATTGTTACTGTGAGTGAGTCTTTCCTAGTAAACCAGAATTGTTTACCTAGCTTCAGTCAACAAGAGAGGAGCAGCCACCATTTTATTATATTAATTCTCTTGTTTGTGGTATGCTAATGAATGAAAAGCAAAACAGGAAGACATGATGTTAAAGTAGTACATGCAAAATGGCAGTATGGACTAAGGTAATTTTTACTGAGTTGATTTCCAGAACAAGTGATGTTTTAATCCTGGGGGTTTTTTGCCTTTCCACTCCTCTTGGCATTTACTTGTTGCTACCCACCTTATTGTTGCCACTTCTCGTGGTAACACAGCTTGACTTTACTATGTCCCTTTCAAATTTTAAAGCTGTTGAAGTTTGTGTGACTGCCTGGAAGATACCTGAGACTTCTGATAGCATAATCCTAGAGCTCCTTCTGAGCCCAAGTTCTTGTAGCTCTTGAACAAATGCATTCCAGGAACTGTGGCTAGGGATAACACTTACAGATAAAATTACATATATGATGTGCTTGGGATTTATTTTATCTGTTCACATGATGAGAGTACTTAATTGTATAGAAACAGTTTTCTCCTGTAGTACCTGCTTCTGATTCATGTTACTCATTTCTAAAATACAGCCTTTTTCTGAAAGAAAATAAAACTACTATAATTTAATTTGCTTGTTACTATTATTACTATTATTCTTTTCAGGAATGCAGAATTTCAAAGAAAAAGGTCAATCCATGGCTTGGTATCTGAGAGAGTGTTTACCAGTAATTATTCAATGTTTATTTATATTACTACAGTATTTAGGAGACTCAATCTTGGCCCTTGTTCTAGGTGCTTTATAGAGGGTTACCAAGCATGATAGTCCTGTGGTTAAGTAGCTTATGACTGGATAAGAATTGTCTTGTCTAAAATACAAAACCAGTTGCATTAATGCTGTGCAACTGCCTTCTTTTTTATTGCTGCAACTTTAATAACACTCTCTTCCCCCCAGTTTGTTGGTACATTAAAGAAATGATAGGTAGCAACATCCTCATCCTTATCTCTCTGCATTTATGGAGTGCTAGCAATGCTGCCAGTCCAATTCTGATGCTAGATTTTACATTATGTCTAACCTACAACATTATGAGGTGCAGGGGAAGAGACTGAGGGGGAGGGGAGAAGATGTTGGAGTGAGAAGACAGTTTGGAAAATATGTTGGACTAAGGAAACAATTGTGAACATTGAGAATTCATGATTCTGGGGCCAAAGAGAATGAAACGGGTGGGGGAAATGAGAAATCTATAGTTTACATTTCATAGGTGAGTGAATAGTGATTCTTGGAACACTTTGGTGCCTTACCAAGGAGCTTTTTTTCATGATCTCCCCTAATGGGAGGTGAGGTGACTCAGCCAGATGTCTTGAGGATGGTTTGCTCAGAGGGTTGAGCATTAACATTTAATGTGTCCTTTGTTGTGACTGCTTTCAGGTCTGAGTCTTATGGGTCTGAAAAGAACTGTACACTTTGTGTCATCCTTCTGTGAATATTAAATAATACAGTTTTTCTCTTCTACTATCCTCATGTATAAAGAGGTTCAGCAAAAAGTACCCTGAGCTCCTTGGAGAATTCCTGTTTGGTTAACCACTTTCTAATGAGTTTGGGACACAAGTGTTTATCAAGCACCACTTGAATTTAGAAGATGTGGCAACTCTGTGTGTGAATTTGTGCTCCCAGTTTATGCCAATTTTATGGTAGAATGAGTTGGTTTGACCACCTTCAACTGAGACTGAAACCAGTGCATCTTTTGTCAGGTTTTATCTTGTCTCAGGTAAAGTTAGTGCCTCAGCTATTCACCTTTTCCTCTGCAGACAGCACTGACTTAGTGATAGAGGTAATGAATGCATTTGAGCTCCTGTGTTGTGAGGTTTCACAGCATGGGTGTTAACTTGAACCATCAGTAATTTCACCTCAAGTTCACACTAAGAACGGTAGTGGCTGAGCAGCCTGTAGCAGGCACGCTGTCTTCTACTGATCCTGCTATAGAAGAATAACCTCTAGCAGAAAGGCAACACTTCAAATTGCAGTACTCCAATCCATTTAGACTCCTTTTCCAGAGTGGTAAGACCACACACCCTGCTGGATAGCACAGCTCAGCTAGTGGGTGGTAAATAAGCAACTCTTGTGGCATGATTGTGGATCTTCACCTAATCTAAAGGTTAAGTTTAATTTGGGAAGTGTTGTATCTATTTCCCTTCCTATAAAGTCTAATCTAATGTAAGTATAAATTTGGGATATGTTTGTTTGTTTGTTTTTGTCAGAACAGGCTTTGTTGTTTTGGTAAGGTAGAGTTAATATGGGCAGTGCAGCCTTGCAGTTTCCATAAATTTGAATGTAAGATGTACTTGCGACTAGGGGAATGTGTGTAATGTGTAAAATCGTTTTGGTCTCTATGTATCTTATATTTCATTAATATGTTGTACTTGATTAAAACACATACTATTGTCCAGTCTGTGCATGGTATTTCTAAATTACGAAGTTATTTGTACAAAATGTCCCCAACCAAACAGTGAAATGATTATTGCTGAATCAGAACAGTGGTCTTCCTTAATTATACTGTTGATTAGCTGCCAGTTCCCTAGTCCTTAGCAAGCAGAAATTAAAAATGTAGCTGGCATAAGAACCTGAAGTTCTGAACAAATGAAAAATAGAAACATAATATATCCAAATCCATTGGAAGGGCTATTCAGAGGGAGCATAAATGCACTATATTTCTATTTCTTTCACTGATACTCAGTATGGTCTAAATTTTTTTGCCTTGCATAAGTAACAGCTGAAATGCTGTATACCCTTTTTTGTTTAGTTTTTCTTTTCTGTTCAATTGTATTAACTTAAAAATCCACTTAATGGGTCATAATATGGAAAAGGTTTTGCAATGGGAATTTGAAGATCTGTTTCTTAATCCAGCTTTGCCAGTGATGTGGGACTTAAGGCAAACCACTTTCTTTGCCTCTTCCTTCCTCTCTCATTTTCTATATGCTTACCTGTTATTGATCTATACATTGTTCAGGTCAGGGAACTGCCCCTGATGTAATTCTCAACTGTCTCAAGTTCTGAGAAAACTTCAGCTATGCAGTACTTCAATACAAACCATTAAAAAATATGGCCTTAGTGCAAATATACTGGGCATGAGTAGATAAGCTTTGACTATTTTAAATGTTTAGATTCTCTCATGATGTTGACACTTTGTTTAGCTGAAAAGTTCACAGTAATGAGTTAACTTTCCTCCTTGTTAATTTTGTATAAATTAACAAAGACTTCAGAGTGATGCGCTCATTAATGTAGAGTCGATGTTTCTGCTTCAAAATAATCATTGCATTTTACTTAGCTGAGTTCACAAAAAAACTTGTGGGTGGTGTGATCCTTAACTTTTCAGGTTTTAATGTAGGCTTACAAAAACTTAGTGTTGTGGATATGTGATTTAAAGAAAATCCCTTTTTAATTGGGATTTCTATTAAGTGGTTAAAACTCCTCTTTTGAACAAAAATCCTTTTAAAGTCCTGTTGAGTGTATTGGTTTAGAACACAGTTTTCTTCTTTATTGTTAGAATGTGTGGACTATATTTTGTTAAGACATGGTTGCCCACCTTGAGAATGGTATAAATATTAGCAATAGTTCTAATTATACGATAATGCCCTTTCAATTATAAGATAAGGTGGTTGTTACATCATGCTTGTTAATAAACATTGGAAATTTTGTCAAACTTTGGGTTTCATTCCTGTTGTACAGAGCAATATTGTATGTTTTAAATCTGCAGATGCTACTATTGGGATTTTGAACGCTAAAGTGTTCTTGTTTTTCCAGTTTAATAATCAAAACGATAGAGGTGAGATAAGTTCAACCATATTGAAAAGCAGCCTAATGCAGAGGACATCTTTTGCAGCGATTGCCATTTGATTTATTATAGAGGGGCAGTATGAGTCACATGCAGGAATGACAGTTTTCTGATGTGCGCTTCCGTGTTGTAAATTGACTCTCAGTATTTTATTGGGCAAGCTGTTGCTTTGGTCCTGTTACTTCCAGAAGTTCATTAACCTAAACTTTTCAAGAGGCTGGTTAGGCAGGTGAAGTAGGGTCTAAAAGTAGCCACTCAACCCTGCCAAAGCCAAGGAAACAAAGTGAAGGGACCATCTATGCCACATTTAGTAGGTATTTTTTACCTACTAGCTTAACAGAGCAGGTGAAACAACTCCCACTGGGCCAAGGAAAAGTTTTCAAATGTATTAATGTTCAAGATAGAAAGGAACGTGAGGGGAGATGCATCTTTTTTTTTTATTTAGGTGTTTATAAGGGGGCTTGATTAAAATTTAAGTGTTTGTTTGTGAGAACAGTTGAGAGAGTCTACTTTTGAGTGAAGTTTAGCCAATCAGGCTCCTAAGCACACTTTAAAACCTAGCAGATGTTTCAGACCTTTTTGTTTTTAAACTAGCATTCTGGATACATTTTTTGATACCAAACTTAATGCTTCTAAATATTGAATTACAAATATAAAGAAATTATAATTTTTTTTCTGAGATTTGGAGGAATAACAGCCTGTGTTCTCCTAACAGAACATAGGAGGCAGTGTTGGCTCATAAAGATGTGACTTGGCACTCAGGATACCTTTTTACAAGAACAGAAGCTGTTGGTTTAGGCTTTAGTATAACCTACTCCAAGGTAGGCAGTTCTACACGAGAGGATGTAGAAAGTAAGGCCTTTGATTTTTTTTTTTTTCTTAAGGTTTTATTCACATCCCATTTTTCCTCGCAATTTCCAGTGTAGTACAAGATCCTCTTTTGAATGGTGTGTGAATTTTCTATTTCTTTTAGTCCTTTAAGTTCCAGCAAGGTTCGGTATTCAAGAAATAAAGATGCAGTTCAAAGGCTGTTAGAAGTTTCTTCTTGATTTTTTTTTTTAAATTCAGGTTTTAAAATAAACTATGAGATAATAGCAGGGGAACTGTCAGAAGCAAAGTAACTTTTAGAAGTTTCATTATATTCATAATACTTTATTATCCACAGAATAATCTCAGTGATTTGCAAATGAGCTCATGGTTATCTTAGTAGGATAGGTACTGGAGGTCTTAGAAACCTTCTTAAATTGCTTTCTCACTGTTGAAAACTGAACTGCATAATGTCTTCATCTCACGTGACCTGTTGTCAGGTATATGCATTTGGAGATGAACACGCAGCTGCTACATATGAAGAGACCTTGATGCTTCTGTTCTTGACATCCAAGTATAAATCTGTAAACAAGTTGTTGACCACAGCACAAGGCCTATAAACAGTAGAGTTTAATTCCTTTACCCTTAGTAGTATTCAAAATGACAATTTTCAAAGGCTTCAGAAAAGAGCCCACACATCTCTCAATTTTGGGTTCCTGAAGTCTTTCTTACTGTTCTTTCAAGTACTTCCAAACATGAATAGGATGCAAATTAAAGAAATCCCACTTAGCCTTCTGCTTCTTACAATCAAAAGGCCATACATAATAGATGAATTCAGCTTGGTCTGAACAATTAATGCTTCAATAAGTTTGTAAAAAATACAAAATTGCAACTACCTCAAGTCGCCCAAAGTTTACCTCGCCCCCAAAAAGGGGTGTTAGTAATATCCTTTTGTTGACAGAAACTTATTATACTATTTAGAATGAAAACGAGACTACAGAAAACTGAGTTTAATTTTGTCTTTTGCTGTGTTCTCCCATATTTTCCTCATTTGTACTCAGTCCTGTGTCATTAAGGCTCAAGAAAAATAACGTTACTGCATCTTGCAATATTTTTGTCTGTATTCATCATTTTGCCTGTTTGCTTGATCTGGCAGCAGTACCTGAGCAGTCTGTGTGGCTTGGGGTGGCATCCAAAGATTTAATTTTCTGACTTACAAGGAAAGAGGAAGTATATTTCACCACATAGTTCTCACCCAAAATATTTGAGGGTTGAGCAGGGGATAATTTTGATTGTTTATAAGGCTATATTTGACTGCTGGAAAAGACTGCATGTTACTGGAATTAAGCTGATTTCAGGTACCCTGATCTCAGATATGGAAGTCTGTGAGAAGTAATACAGGTCCTAGTGTGCAGGGACTGTAAAATTCCACGTGCTGTACTTCAGATGCCTTTTTATATGTAGTTTATGATTGTTGGGGGTGAGGGTGGATATTTTCTTGAACACGGCAGGCATATATGCTAGTAAGAGAGGAATTTTGAGTCTAGCAAAACTGCAGGCTCTCATGAAATTTTCTATTGCCTTGACAGATCTTAAATTGTGGGGAATATGACATTACAGATATGTATGATCTCTTTGGTTACACTACTTCTAGAAACCATGCCTGCTATCACCCTTCTTTTCTGTGTGTAGTGGATATTAAAACCTAAACTAAAATGTGTGAAATTTATTTCTCCTGGCAGCATACTGAATGAACTCTTATGATAGCTCATCGCTTCAAACCAAAGGCTGGGCAGCCTTGTCTTACAGATGCAGTGCTTAAATTTGAGATGTTAGACTTTTGGATTGCTTAACTTAAGTTCAGTGCCAAAGGGAGATAGTATAAATGCTGCCATTTAAGACTATTGCTCAACGGTGACCCTTTACACAGTTCTGTGCATCAAAGTAGTCTGTTGCCAGTAAGGTCAGGGAGTACACTTGGAAGAAAAATGCATGTTCTTTTGTTAATTCCCTTTGAAAGTTACAGGACTTATTGCAAGGTTTGCTGTAAAATGACAAAAAGGTAGATAGAAGTTGTCTTGGGTATACCTGCCTCCATTCTTCATAGTTCCTGAAAGGTGACACACACTGAGCTACTCACAAGGGACAAAACCTTGACATCTGCTTGTGGTTATAGAAATAGTTTTGTTTATTCCCACTCTCAAGAGATTTGTAAGAGTATTTCTTAAGGCTCTTAATTTAGAAAGATACCATGCTGTGGAATCAGAAGTGCCGAGTGGTGCTGTTTTGCATCCCTTATTCATGGAAATGAGCTGCTGTAAGGCATGATGATGTGTCTCTGTTTTGTGGCTTAGGAAGTTAAACATTAAAAGTACTAGGGAAAACATACTGCAATGAAACTAGATTAGATTGCTCAAGTTTATCTGGTTCTTTGAGAATCTAGTTATGCCAACATAACAATAAAAAGGAAAGGAGCAGCACTGTTGATTCAAACAAAAAAAACGTCAACAATGAATAAACACATTTAACCGCATCCCTGTCCAAATTTAAGTGCTTCCAAATTATACTAGATAAAAAGAGGAGATCTTTTTTTTTTCTTTCTCCACATTCCCCCCCCCCAATAGCTGTCGAAAGGAGGTTTGTTACTGATGTATTGAATTTTCTTGGTTTGTATGTCTTAGAGGTAATTTAACAGTAGCTTTTGTGATTCACAGTTCAGAGTTATTTTTCTCACTATGACTGAAATCTTATACGTAAAAGCAGATTTTGATGCCTCTGCCTTACTTTCCCAGATTTATCCACTGTACTGATGATTCCCCTGATCCTTCCTTGGACTATGAGGTAAGACTTTTTTCATGATTTCTAGGTACTTTAAATGAATTGCCCACAGGCAGGCTGCCATTTGTGCTTGGGTATGTGCCCACAAAATTTGTTTGTTTTAATTGTGTTGCTTAGGCAATGTGGGGAAGCCTGGTTAAGTGCTACAGATCATAAGGAGTTCAATTAATTGCACATCGGAGATGAGCTAAAGTTCAAACTTCCGAAGCTTCCTTGCAGTTTCCTCTCATGTCTGTCAGGTTTTGCCAGAAAGGACAAGTTCAATAGCTGAAAGTCATATATTCTTGACAGTATACTGCTTGTGTATATCACAACTGAGGTTGCTAAGAGAGAAGCTAGCTGTAGTGGCTGGGGATATCCTGAACAGTAGTAGTCTATTGTATCTTGTTTCATATGCTCATTACCAAATTAAAATGTTAAGTTAGTGATGTAGATATTAACAATGCTTTAAACTGTTCACGTGGTGCTATTACTTTTATGTTAGCATCTAGTCTTGTCTCCAATAACAAATTTTATATAAATGTAACATTTGTCATCCTGTGGGCTTAAAGGGCTCTAGAAAAGTGAACGAACCTTGTCTTTTTTTTTTTTAAGTGCTATCTTAACGTGCTTTAAAAAGACAGGACATCTGAAAGTTGGAACAAAGAGTTTCGTGTTTACCCTGTAGTTAGGAGAGTCACCTCTGATTACTGAGGTTTTTCTACTGTGGTTGATAGGTGTTGGGAATTTCTAGTAGCTATGAGCAGCAATTGAGGCCCTCAAAATAATGCATCGATCTGAATGTGACTGGGGTCACAACAACCCCATGCAACACCTGGAGCAGAGTGGCAGACAGGGACCTGGGGGTGTTGGTTGACAGCCAGCTGAATATGAGCCAGCAGTGTGCCCAGGTGGCCAAGAAGGCCGATGGCATCCTGGCTTGTATCAGAAAGAGTGTGGCCAGCAGGACTAGGGAAGTGATTGTCCCCCTGTACTCGGCACTGGTGAGGCCACACCTTGAATACTGGGTTCAGTTTTGGGCCCCTCACTACACGAAAGACATTGAGGTGCTGGAGCATGTCCAGAGAAGGGCAACGAAGCTGGTGAAGGGTCTGGAGCACAAGTCTTATGAGGAGCAGCTGAGGGAACTGGGGTTGTTTAGCCTGGAGAAAAGGAGGCTGAGGGGAGACCTTATCGCTACCTGAAAGGAGGTTGTGGCGAGGTGGGTGTTGGTCTCTTCTCCCAAGTAACAAGCCGTAACACAAGAGGAAGTGGTCTCAAGTTGCACCAGGAGAAGTTTGGATTGGATAGTGGGAAAAATTTCTGCACTGAAAGGGTTGTCAGGCACCAGAACAGGCTGCGGGGGGGGGGGGGGGGGGGGGGGGGGGGGGGGGGGTGGGGAAGTGGTTGAGTCACCATCCCTGGAGGTATTTCAAATACGTGTAGATGTGGTGCTTAGGGACACGGTTTAGTGGTGGGTTTGGCAGTGCCAGGTTAATGACTGGACTCAATGATTTTAAAGGTCTTTTCCAACCTAAATGATTATATGAATACTTCAGCTTAGGAAATGCAGAAACTTGAATAACTGCCAGAGTTATATATGCTTTAATTACCAGGCAGTCTGTCCTATTGATTATAATAGTTTGGTTGCTATTTCTATCCAGTGTCCTTATTTTAACTGGTTTGCGCCTTCAAAGGCATCACAGAATTCTGCTTGGGTGTATACCAGAATAGAGGTTAATTTGGTTAAATTTAATTCTGCTCATCAGCTCTTTTGACTAGGGAGCAACTTTCTGCCAATTCCATGACAAATTTGTTGTGCTCTGCAGCAGGGTTTTTTTTTTTTGTTTTCCATGCTTTATCATTAATGTAACTTTGAAGTTGTTTCATAAATAACTTAACAGTTATACATGCTGTACAAAGTGTAAGATAATTAAGTTGGGAAGGGGCTTCAGGAGGTCTCTAGTCCATTCACATGCTCAAAGCTGTTTAAGTGATGAGGTCAAATCAGGTTACCTGGCATTTTATCAAATCTGGTCTGAAAACATCAGTGGGTGGAGGCTGCGCAACCTTGATGAGGGAGCTGTTCCAATGTTGGACAGTCCTCATGGTGAAAAAGCTTCTTATGTCCAGTGTGAAACCTTTCTGCTTTAAATTAGTTTGGACTAGATAGTCTTTAAAGGTGCCTTTCAACCAAAAGCATTCTGTGATTCTGTGAAATTAATATTAAGTCTACTTGCTTTGAAGTATTTGCTAAGTTAATTATGTGAACTGCAGGATAAGATTGCTTTGTTTTCTTGTATCAGGAATAACTTCAGAGGCAAAACTGTGGATCTAGGAGGTATACCCGCTGACAAAAAGTTATCTGTTACCTTTCTGAAACAATATTTTATCATTTGTTTTTCCTCTATAGCTTGTTCTTCGCAAATGGTGTGAACTAATCCCTGGTGCAGAATTCAGATGCTTTGTCAAGGAAAACAAACTTATAGGTGAGGATTTTTGTAAGGATAAAATTATTAGGTGAAGTTCTGAGGAGTTTCTCTGATTCCTTGAATCAGCACTAAATATGAAGACAGTTCTTTCTTAATACACCTTATTTCTGGAATTAATGTTTTCTCCTTTCTGTAATTTAAAATGTGGTGTGCCGCATTTTTCTTTCCACTATATTTGAAAGCCTGATGACATAGCATGTTCAGTATTACAGTGGGAATATTCTTAATTCCAATTGCTAATTCAGAAACTTCGCCCAAAGGCTGTTTTGTAAGTGATTCTTTTATATTCAGGAGCAAATTGTATCATCTCCAACTTGCAGAATGAATAGAGAGGTAGTAGGGTGTTATGCTGATAAAACGTGACCACATGTGGATATTGTATGCAGAAAGTTAGAGAGGTCAGAACATGTCCACATGTATACGAGGTGTCTGAGCTCATATTATGTTCAGTGTAGCTTAGTCAGAAAACCTGTTGATCTCTGGTTCAAAATCCTAAATGTAAAACATTTCAAGTGGTGCTGAACAGCTAGGGTATTCACAGCATACAAAGAGCTGGTGGGTGCATCAGGAGATTTGTTACAGCTGGAGGACAGGCAGATTGTGCTAGAGCATGTATTTTAGGCAGTTCTAGGGTAAATTTAGATGAACTATACTCCTCTGAATGCACTGACTATGCTGATTATAACAGAAGTTTAGACATCTAGTGCACATACAGGTGCTTGAATCAAGGCATTTAATTTCAGGCTAAATACTATTTTGGAATTTGAATTTGTTTTTGATGTGCTCTACCATGGACTCTTTAAAGTTGAACAGAAATGCGGATAGCACAGGATTGGTACACATTTGTCCTTAACCAGATCGAATTATTCTGTCTAAACTCTTATGACAAGGAACTGTTATAGCAGTGATGTAGCAAGGCTCTATTCCAGACTTCATAGGAAGGAAGGCAATTTTTTGCTTTAAAATAAAACCAACTTTGCTCATTCTGTCTGTGTCATACCTACATACACACATCTTGGTGCTTGTAAGTATCCAAGTGGTTGGTCCAGGATTCCTTGTGATGATAGGGAAGGGATGTTAGTTGTCTAGTCTTCATTGTTTCTCCTGGCTGCTCCTCAGCATGGTGACCGTGTGGTTGTTTTGGATGTGCTTCTTTGTACCTGTTAGGAGCTGTCAGCAATTTGTTGCTCCATCCTGTCCCACCCCCGAATCCTTAGGAACATACTCCCTGTTCTTTGTTTCCTGATCTGGGTGTCCTGTGGAGGTGCACATTGATGTTTTGGGGTGTGCTAATCTAGGTGCTGTCAACACATACCATTCTCATAGCTTTTTTATTTGGCTGTTCCTTCTGGTGCTTGTATGTTTATCTTTTCTTTCTCTCCATTCATGCCAGTTGCGTTTTTTTTTTTAGTTCTCTATAACAGATTTTATTTTGCTAATAGCAGAGATTCTTGATTAAGCTGGTATTGTTTAATGGCTACTCAAATAGCTTTTTGAAGGGGGGAAGAGCTGAATTCTGTCCTTTTGTGTTCTGCTGGAACACCACAACTGCCAGAGATATGCATCACTGTAAGAACGTCTAAAACATTTGAAAATAGATTTATTATAGAAAATATATGTAGTGATACTTACTTTCAAATACCTCAAAGCGTTTGTACACTGGCTAATTAAACACTCTGTATGTTTCATTACTAGGTTTTGAAACCTAATAGACCTACTAGTATGAGGAGTTTTTAGCTAGCTCTCCAGCTGCATTTCTGAAGACAGTTCCAAGATTTTTCACAGCATGTTCCCATGCTCTTAAAATTAATAAGCCTGTCAGTCAAACTAAGGAGTGATACTTGCACAGTGTAGTGAATGATTTTCCAGTTACATATCTGCATCCCCTGAGATGCCACCATCTCTTGGTTTTTGTTTTTAGACGAGTTAAGCTTTGCGGTGGTATTAATTCAAAGTTCTGCTGACATAAACTTTATATGAGCTTTTTTAAACTTTGGAGGTAGTCAGCATTGTCTTACAGTAAAACTTAATCTCTGTGTTTTGTATATGATTAAAACGACAAACTGCCATCATTGATGCATCTTTCCTGGGGGTTTCTGGATTTTTCTTTCCCTAAATAGCATGAGTTATGTGTTCTGCAGTGATGGGGCAGATCTTGATTCAATATTTGTCCAGCAGGGTATTGCAGTGACTTATGTTGACACATCCTGTATGAGAATTTCTGTCACTTAAGATGCATGCAAGTGTATAATCCTGTTGATGTCAACTTAAACTATTACCTTGCAGACAAAGAAATGTCTGAAATTAAGACCTTATGATGTAGCTGGGATAGTTTATTTAATGTCAGATATGTAAGACCTCAAGGGGGCAAATGGCAGAAATATGGTACTAGACTGCATGCATCTTGTTGATTTTAGGATTTAAGTTTTCACCTGTAGTGACTTATCAGAGAGGTACACATTATTCCACACTGGAAAAATCAGTTAAGTGAAAATCTTTATGGTACGCTAGGAACTATCATCTTGGCTAATGTGCAAGCTACTTCTTTCATTTCATGGTTCCACATACTGGTTTCTATATCAGTTGTGCAGAACAGAAATGTTTTTTGAGCACAGTAACCAGAGGAAATAAAACTGAAAGGAAAGACGGGAACTGGAAACATAAACACAGGCAAAGGCTTCTCCTAAAATTCACTTAAAATAGTCAAATCATGTACATATAAAATGAGGTTCATAAAATGTATGACAGAACTGTTCAAGGAAAAGATTCCTAATGGAAGTACTTTAAGCATAGGAGAAAAAAGGCAGTGTATCACTGGTAACAGTTGAAACTTGGGAGAACCCTGTTTTCTGAAATAGAAATTATAACATGCATGTCTCTGCTACATTTTGTCTGGTTGTTTTTTTTTTGCATGCCTGAAGCTCTTCATAATCAACTAAAATTATTGACAGGTATATCACAGAGGGACTACACTCAATATTATGATCATATCTCCAAGCAGCATGAGGAGATCTGTAGATCAATACAGGAGTTTTTCAAGAAACACATACAGTATAAATTCCTGGATGAAGACTGTAAGTATCTTAAGGCTTCAATTAGCATGGGGAGCATAGGGGAGGGAAAGAGGGTGTTTATGAAGGTTTTTAAATACTTATTGCATGCATAGTTACAAAGATTTAAAAATAGAAATGAAGGGTCTACCTCTTTGAAGTTTTCTTGCAGGGTACTGGGAGGTTTGAAGTTGACAGGGCTTGCAGGGTAAACTCCACAGAAATGAGATCTGTCCTCCTGCCCCCTTGCTGCTGAGCCGGCCTCATTTCCTCCACACTGCACCTAGTTGCAGTGTGCTAAATTCCAATTTTCTGCTGGAGATCAGTGTTAAAACAGGTACTTCTCAATAATTAATGACATCCCCAATATTTTAAGTCTGTGGATATGCACTGCTCTCTTCATAACTATTGCTTTCACAGGGCTTGGTTCTTTTTAACTTGGGCGTCTTGTAGCTCTTATGGCTAGAGCATGCAAAGCAATGTAGGTTTTGAATGACTATAAAGTTGGCAACAAAAAAACCCTGGAGGAATAGGCTGGAGCTTTTCAGGAAAACGATGCATGAGTGAAAGATCCCTTCAGAAGCCATAATGAATTATTTTCTTTTTTTAGGGCTTTTTTCCCCTTACACTTGTTTTTAATTAAGAAAAGTTCTAAACCTGAGAAGTGAGGTAAGAAAACAAAAGGCATTCAGTAGTAAGAAGAATACTTGTTTATATAGATGTTGTCAGATGTTTGCTGCTAGACTATTGATGTATTCCTTGAAGAGATCATTTGTAAGTTTCTTTTCAAGAAGTTACAATAATTTCTCCTAGAATATCATTGCACAGCAGTTTTGCTGCTGAAACTTTTGAATGAAGGCTGTGGTATTTGATACACCTAAGCAGCCCAAGTAAATAGTCTTATTCTTTAAATGTGGAGTCCTTTGCAAATTTTATTGGAAATAGTTGCCTGGCCTGGTTTAGTGAGAATTGAACAGTATTCCATTGTGATGGATGATCAGTAGTGGTGAAAAATACGATGAAGAAATTTTAAATTGGGTCTGGCATGGACCAAACCTCAGTTTAGTAATATACATAAGCATAAGAATTGTCTGGCAGTTGTACTGTCTTCTATAAAGCTTTGAAAACTCAACCCTTAGGTAAGTTTTGAACATGGTTAATTATTTTGCTGAGCCGCCAGATCAGTCAAATATATCTGTCCTGTCTGACTTTCTGAAAAGTTACCTTCTAATGCCAGTCTCTGTTACATTAAAATTCTTAATAATTTGACTCTGCACAGTTCCTTTATTTCAGTCCAGAGAGGTTCTGAAGGACCACTGCTTGAAGAAGACTAGCAGCCTGGAAATTAGTATACTAATTTAATTAGGTCCATAGCCCTAGTGTTTTGAAGTAAGATCAGTCATATAGATCTGACATTCTGATTGCTGTCTTTTAATTTTCCTCTGTGTTCCAATGTAATTTTAGCTGGTATGTAATCAACTGATAGATGAGAATTCAGGTCGCTATTTTTGGAAATTGATGCCTGGATTTAGGCTCTGAAACTGCTGTCTGGTGAACTGAAAGGTCTGAAGTGTCATCTTATGTAAAGGATGTAGAACCTATTCCATCTGGGTTACCTTCTGGGAAGAAGGAGGTTTCAGGGTGACCTTCTGGGATGAAGGTTTGTGAACCTTTTGTTCTTAGGCACTAAATGCCTAAAAGCTGGTGACTTGTCCATCTGCAGAGAAGTGCCATGCAGAAAATATTTTTACCACCTTTCATCCATCCGCCATCATATCCCTTGACCCACCATCTGGTAGCATATGTGTTGTTAACAATAAAAATCTGGGTTTGCTTGTTTGTTTGCTTTTAAAAGGGAAGGTATTATAGCTTTTTTCTTGACTTCTTGTTTCGTTGGGGGTTTTGATGATGTTTGCTCTGCGTTTTCCAGTTGGTCTGGTAGGATCTCCAGATGGAAGAGTTGAGTCAGAGCAGTAGGATAACAGATGGGTTGAATGCTTTATAAATACTTCTAAATGTTGTTAGAACCTTCTAAATACTTTTCATAAGAGCCCGGTAAGAAGAGTATTCTGGATGTATCAATACTTTCTATGGAGTTAAGCCTTGGTTTACCCTCCATTTTGAGCAGTTGCTGGTAAAGTTTTACTCATCTTGCTGGCACATGACACTCCTGCTCTGAGGTGGTCCCGAAGAAGAGGGAACAGTTCAGGTTTTCATCTCTGTTCAGTGTTTGTGATTGTCCTGAACTAGTCACCAGTGAGCAATCAGTCTTAATGGGGATGTAAATCTCACTAAATGCTGTTAGCCTCAATGATTGCCATAGGCTTGCTTTAAGCTGACAGGCACCATTTTTATTATAAAACTCGGATGCAAATTTTCCATTAATAGGATATGACTAATTAGAGTACATGGTACTGGCAACAAGTTCAGTTGAACAGCTGGAGAAGAAATCTAGGGTTGCTCTACTCCTCTTTGCATTGATGACTGACTTAGCCACTGAGGGCTTGTCTTCCCGAGAAAACATAGCACTTAATTCCAGAGTGACATTTTAAATTGACGTAACTAAGCTTGTGCAAAAAGCTGTGTGGATTTTTAAGCTATATGATCAAAACCAGTTTTGACTGGCTTTGGTGCTGTTGAGTTGTGGTTTGCCCTTAGCCCAGCCAATTTCGCATGAAATGTTAGATTAAGCTTTCCATGCATAGATGTGATCTATCAACATCCCTGTTACTGACAGGCAGCTTCCTGAGTAGTCGCTGTGGCTCAAGTGTTCTTCAGTGATATCCTGAGTTTAGTTTATCCTGCATGTATTGGGAAATCTCTTAGCTGAAATATTCCCTTCCTTATTAGTGAAGGAAGTGACAATACAGCATTTGTCTGAGGCTTTTCTAATTTTGGCTTTTTTTTTTTTTTTTTCCCTCCCTTTTCTTTCTGCTAAGCTGGTACAACTTCTGCATGTAGTCATGCCTGAATGCTTATCTGTCCGTTTCCCTAGCTGAATAGAAAGACAAAGATTTGTTTAACCATACAGAACAGAAGCTAATAGAAAGATGCATATACAAAGATTCACGCTTAATTAAGTCACGGGGAGCAACAACAATGAAGCTATGCAAGGCAGCTTTGCGTCAATCACGGAGTAGCAAAGGGTCTGTTTGAAGAGCTGTTGATAATCAGTAGGTGGGCTGTATCTGCTCTGAGTTGCATTAAACAGCCATTTCACTGCCACCCTCCTCAGCACACCCACTGACCCTTTTGTTCCTACAACCTGTTTGTCTTGTTATCCGCTGAAGTCTTAATCTCCTTCAAGCAGGAACTTTCTCTTATTAAATGTTTGTGCAATGTCTAGCAGAGTGGAGTCGCGCTCCTTCCTTGAAACTCCTCCGCTCTGCTGTAAACCGAACAGCAGTAATGTGGAAGATAAGCTTCTCTCTGTGCTAAGAGTTTATCAAATGTTCTTCATTTGGGGGAGGGAAATTAACAGAAGAAACCAGCATTAAATGGAAAAACCTGGCAGCTGATCTCTCAGTACATTAACAATAGTTCTTGAAATGTTTCAGCTCCCTCTTGGAAATTAACCTGATTCTGGCTTGCAGTTCTTTAGACATACTGACTTTGCAGATTGTGCTGTGTACACAAATATCTATTCAGATTTAGGCATCGTCTGTGAAACTGTACATCTTTTAAGATTAACATTTTTTTTTTCCTTTACAGTTGTTTTTGATGTGTACAGAGACAGCAGGGTAAGTGAACAATAGGTTGTATATAATTGTTTATTTTGTGGAAACTCTTCCTGAAATGCTACAGAGATGAAGCAAAAGTAGCTTCATTTTCTTAGAAGTGGTCCTGGCAGAAAACAAACAAACAAAAAACCCCTACTTCATATTATTGTTCCATTGCCCGGGTCTTTTTCTATGCTAGACACTATCCACAGTAGGAGAATAATAGGATTAGGGGTGTAAATATGTCTGTGCCAGTGCTGTAATTATTTAGTAAATACATTCTAGAGAAATAGTCTGTCTTAAAGCATGTAACTTTGGCTTCAGCTGCAATTCTGCCAGTTCTATGAATCTACTGAAGGCAATTTAGTTTTCTTTTAAAATGGGTACTTAATCAGTATCATGAAACATTATTAAATTGTTTTAACAATTCTTTCAGCTCTAAATATTCAGCTTGGAGAAGCTTGTTTTTTGATATGGTTGTGAATGAGAGCACTACCTGTTGCAAAGGTTCCCTCTGCATAGTGCTCACTCGGTGCTTTTGACTGAAATGTATCTGAACATTCAGCCCAATTGGCTGGGATATTTTCCTAAAATAAGGCAGGGGTGATATTTTGCTCACTAAAAAAAATATTTGGGGGACTCTTACCACTTTTTCTTCAAAAAAATAATTCCTTGGACTGACTTTTTTTCCCCGTGATATTTTTCCCCTATAGCATCTGAACTCATCAAAACTAATCCTTTCTTCAGATAATCCTTGTGAGGTTGGAAAATGATAACTTGTACTTCATGTGCAGAAGTCTAGGGCATGAAGAGATAATTGTCAAAAGAGTATATGAATGTGGTGTGCCCAGTTTGAGACAGATGGAGGCTAATTTTTTTCCTTTTCAAACTTCTCTGGCTGTGGTTCTGAGTGCTCAGCAGATCAGAACCTTGAACATCCAGATAGTGACAGAGTGGGGAGGAATGTCCCATCTGAACTTCACTTGCCAATATCCAAGTTAGTCACCTTGACCTCTCCTAGTGTCAGTAGAGGGAAATAGGTCAGGTGGATTGTGCTTGAAAGGTACATATGTATTGTTTTAAAAGGAACCACAACCAAAAATGCATTATGTAGCCTTAAATCTCAAAACCTGATTTTGGGAATCACATTAGTGCATGAGAAGTAACTCTTCGTTTTAGCTTCAATTTCTTTCTAAATCCTAAACCAGAAATTACAAAAAAAAAAAAAAAAAAGCGCCATATATTTTTGCTGTATACACTTACAAGTCTCACTGTTTGACTCATTTACAGTTATAGGATTGGAGAAGGCCTTTATTTGAGATGAGTTGGAATTATTTGTAGTAAGTTCTGATTCTGACTTTGAATGTCACTAAAGTATTTTGTAATTGTGTAATAGTAAATTGTGTCATAGTTTGCAAAACAGAAACTAAACAGGAATGTGTGTCATATGGAAAACAACTGTTGTACTGTTGCTCAGCACAACGTATAATATAGCCTAAAATCAGGCTACGGACTAAAACCAGCCATGCTGAACGGTAATGGAGATTCTCTGCCCAGGCTCAGATCATCATACTTGAGAATTCTGTCAGGTAAAATGAGGAGCAACACTAGAGCATTGAACCAGGTTCTGTAGTTGGGTACTCTGCCTCACAGCTGAGGCATGAAGACAGATTGTTTAAGTAAAAGGTTTCAGTCTGTGTGATCTCAAATGAGCAGTGTTTCTTCATCTGTCAAGATAAAATATATCTGTTTGTAGATATCTCTGGGTGCCTTCTACCCTCAGGTCTTGTAAACTGCCAGATAGCCCTTTGTGTGTCAGATCCTCCTCCTTTCACACATACTTTGTGGTTTGCAACTGTATTATTCATCCTTACCTTTGCATGTGGGTTACAGGCAGCAAAAGAATATTGAGTGTTGCCGAGTGTGATTAATTTTCAGAGCCTGTGCTCCTCATCGGGCTGGTTGCACGGCAACCTCACCTACAGAAGGAGAGAAATGTCCAGTGTTTGCTTATTTTAAATTCTTTCAGCTCTAAATATTCAGCTTGGAGAAGCTTGTTTTTTGATATGGTTGTGAATGAGAGCAACCCCCTCTCTCTGCTTGCTTTAGTTACTTGAGAGACTGTACGGAGCAGGCTGCCACAGGTCCTGCTCATTGGGTTGGAGGGTTGCATAGAAGCAGCAGTGGCCTGGTTGAGAACAAGCTTTTATGTGTCTGCCTTTCCTGTTACACTCTCTTCAACGCTCTCATCTGAGCTAGTGCCTGACTTTTCAGACAAGTCATTTTTAAGGGAGAAATGCTGCTGTACGGTCATCCAAGCTGGATGATCTGGAGACCTAAACCTGAGGAGGTTTTGTTGCAGGACTGGTGGCCTGTTTTCATTTGGATCCGGTTCTTTTGCTGCCAGCAGTTCACAATCGTTGTGCAACAGCTGACAAACCTGAGAATCGGCTCTGCTGTTGTTCTTTGCGTATCTCCCAGATGTTAAAAACTCGTAACCATGTTCAAGACAAGTCACTGTGGTAAGACAAGGAAATGCAGTGAGTGGCTCCAGACCACAGCTGCTCCTGTGAACATGCAAACTGGTGCTTGTGTCTCTGCATTGTGAGCATTGTCACTGCATGAAGGTGCAGCTGGAGTTAGGGAAATGTAACAGTTCAGTTTGCATTTTATCTATCTTTTAACTTCCTTTAAACAGTCTTTGTCTTAGGCACTTCCTTTCAGCAGCATGTTGCTTAATGCTTTAGTAAAACAAAGTGTGAAGCTGACATGATATGGGAAATCTATTGGTTCCTGTTTTCTTATTACATAAGAAGAAAATCTTATGTAATACAGGCTGGGTTTTTTTTTCCCTCCAGATAAGCACAATTTTGCTTTCCTGTCTTGTTCATTTCTGTGCTCTCATATGACAAAGATTACTAATACCAGAAGGTGTCAGATAAATAGCTTTACTACTGCTCAGTAGATACACAGTGCAAGTCACCTGAAACTGCATTTAAATCATGACATTGAATATAAGACTTGAAAGAGCATTTTATCTTAAGAAAAAACAGTTTGGTTACTGACCCAGAGTTATATATCCTCCCTTTAATGAGCCCTGAAAAAGGATATTTAGTTTGTTTTGCCACTTCTCATCAATTTGCAGCTACCAAAGCTCAGTGCAGATTTAAGACCATCTCAAGGCAACAGTTGGTGTTGTAGATGGTGTACTGCTGTCTTCAGGGAGGGAGAAATACTGCTGGGTGCTCATAAAAACCAGGTGTTGCTTTCAGTAGTCTCAAAAGGAGTTTTTGTTGTTGTTTTTTTTCGATTTTTTTTTCCCCAGGGTACTTTTCTTCTCTAGACAAGTGATCTTCAGTTCCTGTGAAAAGGCTGAGTTTAATGTATTTGGAGTGAGGAGTCGTCTCTGTGAAAGCCTTTCATAGGGAAGTCCTTTATGAAGTATAAACATTTCTGATGCAAGGAAAGATTCTCTGATCTGTTGAATGAACTTTACCAGCCATTGCTTCTGTCTGTGATTAAATTGGTTCTTTAGCTTGTTTTTCTAGTGTGATAGAATGAATCTAAAATTACAGATTCTTTCTCCTGCTGCCTTGGAGCTAAGAAGATGTCCCCATTAGCAAAAGTAAAACATGGCTTATAATGAGAATTTGTGACTGCCTTTTGAAGAGGAACAGGGATGGAATGTGATAGCAGAGCTTGCCCCTGGTTGCTCGCTGACCAATGGTGTCAGTGCAGAGGTGTTGCAACTTAGCCACGCGTATTTGTGCTTCTTCATCTTTCCAAAACAAGTAAGAAACCACTCAGGTCTGTGTCCCTGCAATTCTCAGTTTTTTCTGTAGCCATCTGGTTTCAGGACCGCTGTTGCGGTGCATTGGCTTCTCAAAATGTGCCCTGCGAGAGCTGCACCCCGTGGCTCTGCCCTGGACCTGTGAAAGCCTGCGTGCAACCACACACTCACAGGTTGGGGAGCTGGCTCAGTTACAGTTCACAAGTAATATCACTGGCTTTGTGCTGGGACTGCCCCCACCTGCATGAGTAACTCGTTATAGATGATGGCAGACCAGCCAGAGCATTTCTGTTCTCTGTTGTATGGGTTTCCATACGTTTTCTATTCTATAGTGCGTTTAGTGCCTGTGGGGGTGGTTCAGGTAGTGTGGGTGGGAGAGGAAGTCTCCATGTTACTCTGTGACTAAAAGCTTCAAAAGCATCTTTGTAAGTTAGAAACCAGATGGCTGTAGTGTAAATCGTTGAAGATATTTGCTGTTTGTATCAGGATAGGGAAAGAAGGAAGACCCATCAGGAATGAGGGAAGGAAAGAGAAAGCAAAATAAATTTTTAGTAGCTACACAGTCTTCAGGTTTGGTTTCCAATTCCAGTTGATCTTTAATAAACACAATAAAACCTTTCAGTCCTGCTTATGTTACAGCAACCTTTTTCTTTTTGTATTTGATAGATCTGTTTTCTTGCAGATGTAGTACTTGTTCTGCAAATTCTTACTAGCAGTTGTAGTCATATTTCATTATAATTTATTATGATGTTTTGTTTTATTAGACTAGATGACACTTTCTTGGGTAAGAAAAGATGGCCCTGTGCTGGGGGGTTGTATCTTGAGATGACTTGAGGAACACAAACTATTTCTTGCTCCCCTGCAGATGTCTCTGTTACCTTTAATATGTTTTGTTAGTCTCTCTGCTTTAATTTTTCAGTTGTAAAACAGGTATGCTGTTGTGCATACTACCAGAACTGTTTTGAACACAAATGTATTAAAGATGAGGCAGGGGAAACTAGTCTGGACTATTATTAATGGCTATATTAAAAATGCTTTTAAGTTATTCTGTATTTATCTATATCTGTGCAGCACTTTTCAACTTTCATGATGTCCACTAGCATTTTTCAGACCCTGCTCTGTATTTTTAGAGTCCCTTCTGAGACCAAGAACAGCAGTGCTTGTAGACTGCTGTACAGCAGTGCTGAGGTGGCTTTTGATGGAAAGCAAAATCCCTGTTTGGGTGGGGGTTTTTTGTTTGGTTTGTTTTTTTTCCATTCCTTGTTCATGCTGTCTGAGGATCTTGGAGGACTATGGGGATTAGACGGAACCTCTGTGGTCTCATCTGAAAGCACCTTGCATAGAACTGAATTCATTTTATTTGAGCTCTGTCTGATCTTCTGTTTAAAAAAAAAAAGAAATAAATTAGTAAGTCATAGCTTGCTCTGTTTTAAAACAGACTGTCTAATGTGTCTAATGTGAAGGATGTTAAAATATTTTAAGTGCCTAAAACCAGGTGATTTCAATTTTGACATCTTTTTGTCTAAAGACCAAGGATACTGCAGTAAAATAAGTATATGTGTATTCCTATATTTGTTTGGTTTGTTTTTGTTGTTTTAATTTTGTAGCTTGTTTTAACTGTTCTGTTGTTTCACTGCAGGGTAAGACTTGGTTAATAGATTTTAACCCATTTGGTGAAGTAACGGACTCCCTGCTGTTTACGTGGGAAGAACTGACCTCTGGGAAAAACTTGAAAGGAGACCAGAGTGAAGGGGAAGCAACAGAACAGGTACAGCCCTATGGTGAGGGAGGCTGGCTAATATATCCAACAGATGTTATGACTTTTTTTTTCTTTCTTTCTTGTAATCAAATTGTGATGTGAATCCAGCTAAGTAAATGAATGTCCTTAACTTATGAAATGTAAACTCTCTGTAAATAAAATCTACCTTATTTTAGACAATAGTTAATATCAGCAAATATCTGTGCTAGTTCTAGATGCCTGCAAGGGAATTTTTAGTTCAAACAGTACAAGCCCACTGACCACATTGTGAAGAAGATGCCCTGAAACTTGCTTTTATGCAGTTTTGATGTGCTCTTTTCAATTTCTCTTAAAATCTCTTACTTTTCTATTTAATCACTTAAAGTTCTGCTTTGTTCCTAATATCTGTCATACCATTTCCCAGAGCTCCAGATTTATGTTTGGGGGTTGGCAAAAAGCAGCTTAACTTCTGTCTCTTCCTCATATCAGATACCCTCAGGGAAGCCTTGTCCTCTGATTGAACTCCCTGGACTTGCAGAGCAGGGCTTTTCTATCCCTCTTCCAAGCTGCATTGCCTCCGTAAAAACAAATAACTTCCCCTTAATACAGAGCGGGAGTAATAGTCTTCATTTATTTGTCCTCCAGATTTTTTTCTCACTGCATGCTTGAGACTGATCACATCTTAATGAGTCCTTGGACAGCTGGATAGAAGATATAAATTAGCATGTTACTTGATCTTGGGGAAACCCTTGGGAGTTGTCTGAGGAGAGATAGCTAGTCAGATAGAATAGGCTTTTCTTTATTTTCTAGCTGTTAAACTGCATTGGAGGTAACTGAAATGACATGCTCTATTGAGCTGATTTTAACATTTGAGCTTCGCTTTAGTTCTGTCACCATTTTCATAACACACTGAAAGGGAAATGCACCACTCTACAGGCTATCTATCATTCGTGCCATTTTCTCTTAGTCTCACCATGTGGCCATTGTTGTATGAAAACCCATTCAATGAACCTTCCTGCTAAAAGCTGTGTCTGCTTTGTTAAAACACACTCCCAATTCTTGAGCTGTCCATGGGACATCTGAATCTTGTTGTGAGGATTTCTTTTTCTCAGTGCCAGATGCTTTACAGAGTTTTCTCTGGTGTAAGCCTGGATGAAAAGTAGAATGATTTCTCTTCGTGCTTCAGTTTACATCCAATCACAGAATCTGGTGTGAAGTTTCTGAATTTCTGTCTTTAAAATGAAGCGGCTTATTGCCATACAGTGGGCAAGTACATTGCATGTCAATATCTTGAACTGAAAACTATGTAAAGTTACCCAAAACCTTTTGCTACAATTGAGTGTTTAGAGATACTTTTTTTATTCAGTAAGTAAATTGGTTGGAAAGTTTAGATCATAATTTCAGTAAGGTTATATTTGCAAACATGGTTTAAACAAGTAACCTGTGAAGACAAGTTTAGGGATCCCATTGTAAAGTTTTTCTTTATCTACATATTTATGTAGGTATTATTGCCCAAAGTTCATTATAGTTCCATTATTACAGCACTCTTATAAGCCTATCTCTATTAAATGCATTAATAATTGGTACACTGTAGAAACTTAAAGGAATTGATTCCTTTACATTTAACTGTTGCTAACGTTTTAACTTTTGCTTTGAAGTGGGCAGAGATTTTAATAAGAAAATTACAATTTTTAGAAAAAGCAGGTTTAGTTGAATGATTGCCAAAAAAATTTATTGTCCAAGTGACTCAGACAGTCTCACGGAGGAATTGAACAAACATTGCTAGCTTTATTCACGTACACTGTTTATTCAATATCTTTTCCAAAGGACTATCCAGTTTTTCGTTGTACGAACAGTAAAGTTACTGTCCAGCCTAGTCCATACCTGAGTTACCGACTGCCGAAAGATTTTGTGGACCTTTCTACAGGAGAAGATGTTCACAAATTAATTGACTTTCTTAAACTGGTAAGAAGTAGTGAAACAATTTCTGATCTTTGTGAAATGGCAGCATCAAAGTGCCTGGAATTGTGCTTTTGATAATTAACATAGGTTACATAATTATAGAGAAAGTAATGTATGAAGCCATCATACAATGTATAGTTGGGTTGCTAATTTTTTTTTTTTAAAAGTGATAAAGAGCAAGCTTTCATACTGATCTCACTTCAGTTAATTAATTTTATCTTTATGGGAAGCAGTGAATGTAGTTTGACAAACCTTACTGAAGGACCTAGCTGTTTTTTTTCTTATTTAAATGTAAATGTAGTAAAAATGCAAATGTATTTTTGAACAGCTGAAGCTAATGCTTTTAAGAATGTCTTTAAAAGTTAGAAGATAAGTATGTTAGGAAAAAAACCTTAAACACTTGTTCCTTTTTCAATACAATTTATTTGTTCCTTTGAATAGTGGCATGAAAACATGACATGTTTGTAAGCTAGGGAAGGGAGGGCCTTCATCTAGACTTCTGACCTCTGCTACCACCATCACGTTTTCTGGTTCTTATATATTCTGTTGGTTAACATACAGGACAAATCTTGTTCTTTACTGAAAATAAAGTCCTATAGGATGGGGGAGAGGGTTGCTATTGCTCTGTTCCATTTGCTGGAAGCATTACCTCTTACTATGCAAAAAATGGCTTAGAAATGCAGTCGTTGTCTAATATCCATTGTATCTGGAAACACTTGTCATGATTTATTAGTGATCTTACTTCAGATAACTGTGTCCTAACATTATGAACTCTCCTGTTCCATTCACAGAAAAGAAATCAGCAAGATGATGACTGAGGTATCAAGAAGCATTACTCTGCATTACATGCAAGAAATGTCGTAAAAGCTATATTTAACATAACTATTAAGCTATTGATTTAAAGAAACCTGCTTTTTATAGTCAGTGAAAGAACTGAAGAGATGTTCATCTTGTGTGTCTTCTGGCTTATATAAAAACGCAGAAAAGATTTTTCAAGGAAACATGAAAAGTCAGGGTGAGTTTTCACTGGATTCCAGGTTAAATGCAATTATACCATGGTGCAAGCAAGCAACAATCTGAGTGCAACTGAACAACTGCTTTCCCATCTCATAATGTGAAGATTGATGCCACTGAAGTATGCCATCGGACTCTACAGTGATAAATATGACAACATTTAATGCTTGTGCAGTTAAAACATTCTCTGAATCTAGGCACGGCCTTGCTTAAAATATAATATAGTCACAAGGAAAGAAAGGAATGTATGTTTTTTGCTGTAGTAGCCTTTTAAAATTGTAAATTGACTTCTGTTTTGGGAGCAATTCTTATCCTTCCTTTATGTAAAATAAGAAAAGAAAAAATAAAAGTGGAGAAGGGATTTTTTTTTTTTCTTTTTTATGAGGGCTAACACTTCATTTCAGAGAAGAGCTATATCTATAGTAGACTACTTAAATTTTGCATTTCTGGAGTTTGAAATTATGAATGCATTTCAAGTAAAGTAATATTTGCACAGTAGCTAAAGCTATGAATTTTGTTAAACTTCACCAAATTTCAATTAATTTTCATAGTAAAGCTTTCTTGAAACTTACTTTTTAACATGATTACATACTAGATGTCATCCGTGGCTTTAATATAAATAGTTAAACATAACATCAACCTGTAATTCTATATGTGGACTCAAGCTTGTTTCTTTTGTATCACATCTCTGGTTTCGTAAGAAAACTCTTTCAGCTCTTAAAATTCAGTATTCATTTGGTACTTCATGTTTTTTGTATAAAAGGAAGCATGGCTAAATTTGGGGAAACAGAAGCTCTTGTTACCAATTGCTGTTGTTTGGGAGGTGGGGGGGAGGACAGTTTCAAAGAACCAACTAACTTTTGGATATAGGTGTTTGCATGGCATCAGTAATTTGTTAACAGTGTGCACAATTCCTAATGAAACAAAAGGACACTTGGAAGTGCTCATAGTCCCCTGGAAATTGGTTTCTATTTCAAACCAGTTATGTGATACTTTATGTGTGCATATAAAGCTGTTCATGTTTCTTTGCCTTGCTTTTGCTGTCAAATTGATATGGTGCTCGGTTACAATCTGTTCTTAGATGTTAAATTATTACTTACCATCTTTATTTAGCTTCAGTTTTGAATGAATACTTACTCTAGTTAAAGGTAAGGCAGATTAAGAATCCAATTCTACCAAATACATTGATGAAACATCACAGATTAAAGCTCCTGGAGTCTGAGAGTACAAGATCTGCCCTACCCTTGAAGCAATGGAATCTCCTTCTCAATAGGTTTTTGTACACAAATTAGATGATCATTAACTCAGGGCTGGTCTATACCTAATCCTGCCATACTGCAGGACTTTGGATGAGTTTTTCTCACCCTTATCAGAGGGATTTTTTGAGTATAAATGTCTCTAAGGTAGGAACTTCAAAATGTGAAAAATAAATAAAGCTTTCCTTTTTTTTTAAAGTTTCTAGCCATAACTTAAGCTATTGTGATGATCTGACTGCACTTCCTTTACACAGATAAGGAATGGAATGGAATGGAATGGAATGGAATGGCATGGCATTTCCAGCAGGTTCATAAATGCTTCTGAACTACAGAGTGTTGTCTTTAAAAAATACCATACCATGATTTAAAGCTGCAAGATAGTTTCCTGGATCTTTTTTATGGGCTCCACTAATTAATTAAGCATTATCACAGCTTTCTGTGCTGAATATTCACCAGAACATATATGGTGTCAAGACTAGTTTGGTGGGACCATATGCACTCTAGAATGTCCCTTCAGGTGAGTAGGTTGGAGCAGAAACCTTTTAACAGTCCTTTGCTTCTTGACATTATTATTTATCCTGAAAGTGGCATCACCAAGTGAACTGACCATAATCAGTGCAGAACACTTAGACTTGCTGGCAGCTTTTGTATGTTTGCAAGAACTACAGTCTTCTGTGCGTGCTCTGTGTTTATAGTTGAGCTCTTTTAGGGCAAATCACAGTGGAATTGGGCACTGGCCCAGCATCTGGCTCCCTAAACAGCTTTGCTTGTGGCTAGCCTGTGCTGGTCCTCTAGTTAAAGGACCACCATAATGACATGCTGTGTCGCTCCTGTCTCCCACCCAGTGTCCTCTGGCACAGCTTACCCCTCCATCCCTCATCAGTTTCAACAGCTGTTTAACACACTTGAAGACTTCTCTTTACAGTCATATGCTTGTGATAAGTGAATTCAAAACTTGTTTTTCTCCCCTATGATTTGCTAACAGATGACCAGTCTGAATTAACAGGGTGCTCAGCCAAGCAATCAAACACTGATAACTAAGTTCATTGCAGAGTTGCAGGAACTTATGCCACTTCCTCTGGGCTTAGTCTTAATGAAGAACCATAAAGGGTAGCAGAGCAAAAATACTAGTCCCATGTTCAGGTCCTCATACAGAAAAAGCCCCCACTATAAAAATCTGTTCTACATAATCAGATTACCCAAGATATCATATCCTTATAATTTAAATATGTACTTTATATTTGCTTCAACTTCAGGTAACCAGATGTTGAATTTTTGTCTGCTAGATTAAGGATTCCTTTTCTAAAAGAATTTTTATCCCATATGACCTTTTGATCTGTAAGGATAATTAACAAACATATTCTTCTTGGGGAGGTAAGGAAGCTAATATTGATACATTAAAAGTGCTTCCGATCAGTTTTAAACTGAATAGTATATGACACTGTTTTAATTCTATTTCAGGTCATCATAAAATCAGTTTCTGCCCCTAACCATCATACAGAAATTTGAAAATACAGAATTCTAATTGTTAGATCCTTGTTCATGTGATTCAATGATACGATCACCATTTGCTGAGTAAGTGCTAACTATATACTATATATTCTTAGTTATATGCTTAAAACATTATCTAAAGGTACTTGTAATCTCACCTAGATGACAAACATGAGAAGGGAGGTAGCATGCAGTTGTTTTATACAGATCATATGCTTGTCAAACTCTTGAGGAGTCTGGCTGTATCCAATGGCTCAAGGGTAGTGAAGCTCACTTCTTAGACTGCAGCTCTGCCAGGAGGGCCAAAGAAAAGTCTTTGTTTCACAGCCGATGCTTGTGATATTAAATCTCCCAGACGGATAGTGGGGACGAGGACTCCAGTAACCCCATAAGCAGTAGTTGTTAACATGTACTGGCTTAGTTCAGGATTTGGAATAATGCTCCTGTACTTCTGGGCTGTGGACTGTCCATTCTGTTTGTATTCCTTTGACTTTTCTTTTTCCAGTGTTGTCCACATCTTTCCTGACCCACTGATCTAATATTTTTGTGAATATTAAGATTAGAATAAGCAACAGCATGGATAATGCTGATCTGCATTTTTAAAACCTCTCTCTGTCCACTTTTTCTTCCTCCTTAGAAAGTGATTGTTTTGAGTGGTGTTTTGTAATATCTGAAAAAAAAAAAAACCACACAACAAAACAAACAAACAAACAACAACAACAACAAAAAACAAACAAACAAACAAACAAACAAACTAAAAGTAGGGGAATAATAGCCAGCTCCAAGTCTTGGCAAAATTAATACCACTTGTTGGATTCTGGTCACAGTGTATGGCTTGTAAAAATCCCAACTGAATAGCAATTTCATGTATCTCATTCTTACACGCTTACCTGTTGCTGATGTCCGGGATGTAGTGCTGCCCAGAAAAGAGTACACAGTGAGATGAGGTTCAGATGCCCAATTAAGCAACATTAGACTAAACCTTCAAGGTTTCAGGCTTCCAAGAGAGCGTTGCCAGATGAAAGGATTTCAAAATAGATCAGTGGTAGTGTGGAGGTGGGTAATAGCATGGCACAAACCTGCATAAAAGTAATTCTGGTACCTTTGTGCACAACTAAGTTAATTGAGCTTTCACAAATTGTCCCAAATCTGAAGTGTTGAACAGCTGGAGAAGACCGTGGGATATGTCAGTGAGTATAAATAGGCAAATCAGCTTGGCAACTAGTAAATAATTTCAACCTTAGAGGCCAAGAGTATACAGTTCAGGTTGTGCTTGGATACCACTTCAAGAAATAATACTGAACTAAGACACATACCTTTGGCTAAAAGAAGATGGGCCTTCAAGTGTACAACAGAAACAGACTGTAGTGGTTTTGATTCATGGTGGATACTTGGTAATGCTGATATTTAGAGGCTTAATAAATCTGTCTTAACAAAAGTTTGCCTGGATGTTGAGTTAAGTGTCTTTATTTTTGTTTGAATTTGATGATGCCTGTAAAGAGAAAGTCTCCAGCTTGTGGTCATCCTGAAATTGTATAGATTATATGGGTATTTTGTGCAGACCTGAAGCTTTCTGAAATGTACAGAGACCTTAAGGAGTAATGTGTCATTATAGATTTTTATACTAATAAAAACATTGGCACTGCAGTAACAGGAGTGGGTTTTTTTGGGGAAGAGAGGGGCTGGGGGGGACCTGCTATATTTCTGTGTGGAAGCTATTGTAGCAATGTACTCTCGGGTAACTGAGAGTGTTTTGACTGCTCTAAGGTCCTCTTAGTAGCTGACCAGTCTTCTTCCAACAATGTGTTTTAGCAGGTTCTAGGGAAGGATTGGTTGGCTAGTCAGTCAAAAACACTGACTTCTCAGAACCTTTCTTCATGGAAGCATGCCAGTTAAATAAATAAACTTTCAGGATAGATTTGTGACTCCTAAATAGCATTTCTAGCCAAGAGAAATAAAACAATCAATACTTGTTATTTTTGGTCTTCAGGGCTCAAATCCAGATGGCAGAAGGGCTTGGAATTTTGTTTTTTGTCTTAGCTTCTGCCATGAAACTGTGTGTCCTGATGGACTGTTGCACTTAATTGCTGTAAATGAAATTCATTGGAGCTGGGACTGTAAGAAGCAAGAGAGAGAATGAAGCAACATGTTAAGCTAAAACGTATGTGCACAGGTACGAAGAATACACAGGAGAAACTCCATGTCAACATATGTCAAAAATGTTTGATGGGCATTGCAGAGACTTTGGGAGGTAAACTACAGCACTGGGATGGAAACACCTGTAGTTCAGGAAAGGCTGGAGGCATGATGCTGAACATCAACAATGTCTGTATTTCCAAACCTTTCACAGAAGGGTTTCGGTTGGGAGGGACCTTTTGAAGATCATCTACTCTAAACCCTGTGGTCAGGGACATCTTCTGCTACATGAGATTGCTCAAAGCCCTGTCCAACCTGATCTTGAACGCTTCCAGTGATGGGGCATCCACAACTTCTCTGGACAACCTGTTCCTGTGTCTCGCCAACTTCACCATGAAAAATTACTTCCTTAATGTCAATCTAAACTGACCCTCTTTCAGTTTAAAACTGTTGCCCCTCGTCCTGTCACTATAGGCCCTGGTAAAGTTTTTCTTCATTTTTCTTTAAGCCCCCTTTAAGTACTGGAAGGTCACTCTAAGGTCTTCCTGGAGCCTTCTCAGGCTGAACACCCCCAACTCTCTCAGCCTGTTTTCACAAGGGACGTGCTCCAGGTCCCCAAGCTTCTTCATGGCCTCCTCTGGACCTGCTCCAACGTCTGTCTTGTACTGGAGACCCCCGAGCTGGCCCCAGCACTGCAGGGGGGTCTCCCCAGAGCGGAGCAGAGGGGGGGAATCCCCTCCCTGGCCCTGCTGCCCCCCCTGCTCTGGCTGCAGCCCAGGATAACGGTTGGCTTTCTGGGCTGTGAGTGCACATTGCTGGGTCATGTCCAGCTTTTCACCCACCAGAACCCCTCAATTATGAAGTCTGGTGGAAATGGAAGATATTTGCTACTTTCTATTGTGAATGTAACATGGGAAGACTTGAAAAGACAAAGAGTTAATGTTTTTGGTTTTGTTTTTTTTTTTTTTCCAATGGACAGAGTTTTTATTTCAGAATGTACAGTGTGTTATTCTAGAATTGGCTGTTCTGGATTACAGGCAGACTTATTAGAAGTTGTTAAAAATCTTAGAGGTAATTCAAATGAAGGTGGCTGTGGAGCTGGCATTTGGTGCTCTTGAGGAAGCAGGGAGATATGAGGAGTAGAATAAAGACCTCAGAAGGCAGTTTTGGTAAGTGTGGGTGTTGGTGCCTGGGTCTGTTTGGGAGATGATGGGTGGGACAAGTGAAGAGAGGTGTTTTTTTTAATGGTCCAGCAGCAATCTCTTAATGTGAAGGAAAAATGGCATAGGAAGGACTTGTTAGGATCAATCAAAATGAAACTACAGGAATTGGAAGGAAAGGCACATGATTAAGTGTGAAAAGATGAGAGGATGGAGAAAAAATGATGGATGATTCAGAGGAAACTCATGCATTTAATGTTTTCTTTGCCTCACTATATCCTTTTTACAAGCAAAAGAAGGAAATGAACTAAATTATCACAGTGTAGCAGAAAAATTGCACTTGAAATAGTTATTGGTATTTAGCCAGAGAGGGTATTTTGAGTGAGACTGCTATACATTTTATTGTAGTGCCTGTATTTTTCTGTAACTCCATTAATGACTGGAGCGGTGAAATAAATAGCCCATGTAAAAATCTACGGTTGTCACCAACTTGAGAATATACGCAGGCACTTTCCAGGGCTGTATCAGAATTTGAAATGGCCATAATATGCAGGAAAAATGGTCTGAAATAGGAAGAAATTTGACAAAGGTGAGTGCAAAGTACTGTAGTTAGAAGGAGAAATCAGACATTCAAGTACAAAATAGGGAAAGAGCTGGCAGAGCAGCAGTACAGTGGGAGTGGATAAGTTACAGTAGAGACCATTAACTGCAAGGCGATAATAAGCTGTTGGGGGAGGAAAAAGGCAGGTGTCATTCTGGGCTAGCAGGAGAGAGGGATGGAAGAAATGAGAGAGATTATTTTGTTTGATGTGGGGATGGTATACTGCAATGTGTCATTTTAGGCACAATATTGCAAGAAATACATCGGTCATTGGCGAGCAGCCGAAGATTGAATCAGAATATCTCAAGTTGGAAGGGACCCATAAGGATCATGGAGTCCAACTCCCTGCTCCTTGCAGGACTACCTAAAACTAAACCATATGACTAATAGCATTGTCCAGACCCTCCTTGAACTCTATCAGGCTTGGTGCTGTGACCACTTCCCTGGGGACCCTGTTCCAGTGACCGACCACCGGCTCGGTGTCGTGGTTTAGGCCTGATTGACAGCCAACCACAATGCAGCAGCTCTCTCTCCCTTCCCCTCCGGCAATGAGAAGGGACAGAGAGCCAGGCTTGGGGTTCAAGATAGGACTGGGATGGGGGAAAATCCCCCTTTTATGATCACGAGCAAAAGGCAGACTCGTTAGGGGAAGAAAAAAAACCATACATTTATTACAGACACTAACAACACATAACAGAGTAGGACAGTGAGAAGCATTGCCACATCTTGAGAACACCTTCCCCCCACCCCTCCCTTCTTCCTGGGCTCAGCTCTGTTCCCGATATCTCTACCTCCTCCCCCAGTGGCGCAGGGGCAGGGAATGGGGGGTGCAGTCAGCGCTGCCACCTCCTTCATGTTCGGTGAGGGGAGTGTCCAAAACTTGTTCCCCCCTGCTCCATCGTGGTCCCCCTCTCGCAGGAGACAGTCCTCCACAAACTTTCTCCGACTTGAATTCCTCCCATGGGCCGCAGCGTTCCCCACACTGCTCCGTCACGGGTCACTAACTTCCTCCGACTGGATTCCCTCCCACGGCTGCAGCCCTTCCCGAGCTGCTCCGGCGTGGGACTCCCCCGCAGGCTGCAATCCTCCCAGCACTGAATTACAGCAGCGGGGCTACCTTTTCCCATGAGAGCCCGGCCTTCTTCGGGCACAGAACCTTGATCATCTGAGCAGGAACAACAGGCTGTAAATCAATGTCTGCTCCACCGTAGATCTTCATGGGTGGCAGGGGGGGGCCGCCCTGCCGTCTCACCACAGGATACAGGGGGGTCTCTGCTCCAGCACACCTCCCCCCTCCTTTCTTCCTCCGTTCCTCCACTGACCTTGGTGTTCATGCAGCTGCAGCAACTCCTCCTCACAAGTCCCACTGCCCGTCACCACGTCCCTTCTTAAATACGTTATCGCAGAGGCGCAGCCGATTGGCTCAATTTCCCAAACAGAAGTGGAGCTGACGTGGAGCTGGGGGAGCTTCGAGAAGCTTCTCACAGGGGGCCGCCCCGATAGCCCCCTCCCCTGCCACCAAAAAACTCCACCACTCACTCAACCCAGGACACTCGGTGAAGAACCTTTTCCTGATGTCCAGTCTGAACTTCTCATGCAGCTTCATTCCATTTCCTCACGTCCTATCGCTGGTCAACAGAGAAAAGAGATCAGCACCTCCCCCTCCACTGCCCCTCTTGAGGAAGGTGTAGACTGCAATGAGGACACCCTTCAGCCTGCTCTTCTCCAAGCTGAACAATTCAAGGGACCTCAACTGCTCCTTGTAAGTCTTGCTCTGGAGACCTTTCACTATCTTGGTCATCTTCCTCAGGACTCTAATAGTTTGATGTCCTTGTATTGAGGCAACCAAAACTACACACAGTTCTTGAGGTGGGGCTGCACCAGTGCAGTGGAGAGGGGGACAATCACCTCCCCTGACCAGCTAGCTCTGCTGTGCTTGGTGCAGCCCAGGACATGGTTGGCCCTTTTGGCTGCCAGGGCACACTGTTGACTCATATTCAACTTGCCATAGTTGTAGACATTGATGAGATCCCCTCTGAGCCTTCTCTTCTCCAGGTGCAACACTCCCAGCTCTCTCTGCCTTTCCTCACAGGAGAGATGCTCCAGTCCCAGACAGACTACTCCAAGGGGCACCTCAGAGATGGAGGACAGCTGTGAACTCTAAAAGCTTAGAGAAAACTACTGCAGGCATGAAACATGCTTTTTGAACTTCAGTGAATGCTAGAAGGAACAACTTGGCCTGTCATACCATCTTTGAAGTCCAGTGCAAGGTAGAAGGTGGAAAAGGGGCTGACCTCCCTTCTCAGGCTGGCTTTTCTTCCCAAGAAGAAGCCCAAGGCTGGCTTCACCCCAAGGTCTCAGCTGGATCTGCAGCATGAATTTTCAGTGCAGTGGCACGTGCTGTAATGTGTTGGCTGAAGTGCTGCACTGAAGTGTAGCAGCTCTCCTTGTGCCAGAGGCGCTGGCTGAGCCCCTCCTGCAGAAGCTTAGGCCGTGGCCATTGCTCGGGAAACTGACTCTGCTGAGGTGTGAGGCAGGACAGCGATGGATAAAAGGAGCATCCTCCCCTGCCCCACCACCAGCCTGCCAGGCCGTGCCATCAAGACAGAGCTGGCCAGGGGCTGCCCCACGGTGTGGGAGAGGACATCTTTGAGGGGCCAGTGGGATTAGTTAGAGGGGCTGAAAGGGAAAGATTTGAGGCTGGATGAGGCTGCTGGAGGTTCTCTGCTGCAATCCCAGTTCCTGGCAGG